GCGCGCAGACCTCACCTGCGGCCCTCTGCTCCCCTCCTCAGCAGTGTATTTCGTCAGTCTGCCTGTTCTGTTCCCTGCTCTGTCTCTGGTGAATTCTCTCACCCTCACGTACATCTGGCCTGTACCCTGGCTCTTGTATAAATAAAATAAATCTTAAAAAAAAATAAAAACTTTCCCTATCCTGAGCTCTGCTGCCACCCTCTTACACCTTCATTTTTCCATGTATACGTTTATTTAACTTTTTCCTACCTAATTGCATTAGCACTGTGCTTCATAAACTTGACTACTCAAGTGTGTGAGTCAACTCACGCTGCCATGGCCAAATACCAGGGACTGGTAACATCTACAGTCCAATATCAAGATGCTAGCCAAAATAAATTTATTTCCTCACAAAATCATTTTAGTTTTTGTTAACTCTGGATGTGTCTATGAGAGTATGTGTACTTGTGAATGTCATCTGTTACATGAGTTGATGGGGAGTAAAGGTCCCCAACCTGGAGTTGTCTCATAACATAACCTAACCAAGCTGGGTCAGCAATATTAGAATAAGTATGATGGAAATGGCCTGCTCCTTTGGTACATACTTTGAATGTTGGTTGAGCAAGAAAAATAGAGATGAGCTGAGAAGGAGCTCCAGGCTTTGTTGTTTACTTGTACAGATGTTTTCTGGTCACCTCTCCTGCTAAGTCCATCATTTACTCCCTGTTCTCAGGCCTCAAAGATGAGGCCTGAAAACATTGAAGAAAAGTAAACCTCTAGTTCTCTGAATTTTGTTATAGGAAGAAATGATGTGCTTAGGATGAAAAGATATGCAATAGAGAGGATTTTTAGGGCAGCAATGTTTTATAAAATATGCTAAGGATAGATACACGTTTGTACATTTCTCCAAGCCATAGAATGTCCAACACCAGGAGTGAATCTTCATGTAAACTACTGACTCTGGGTGATAATGATTTGTCAGTACAAACTCACCAGTTGTAATAAATATTCCCCTATGGTGGGGGATGTTGATTGTGGGGAAGGCTACATATACAGGGGTTCAGTTGGAAATATTCTGTACCTTCCTCTCAATTTTGTTGTGAACCTAAAACTCTGCTAAGAAATAAAATCTGATAAAAACATATGTGCAATACTTAATTTTTAACACCCTTCAGAAGTCTAAAATCATTTTGATAGAAGAACGTAAAATGTTTAATTTGGCTTTCTTAGAAATTTCTCACATCTGCTTATAATAGGATTCTAATTTATTCTGACAATGATTTTGCATTTACTTAATTGAATGTGTAAGTGATGGCACCTTAAACAATGTACTACCTCTTAGGTTTTGCCAGTTTGAGAGTGAAGAGGAGCAATTTAGGGAAAGAAGAGATAATTCATTTTGTAGTTAGGTTTCTAAACTCAGGTATTCCCATGACCTTGAGCAGAAGTAGAAATGACTTTTTTGGAGGCGAGGCTAAGAAGAAACAATAGCAAATCCATGCCAAATCTATTAAGTCTACAGAATAAGATGATAGTTCCTGATAGGTGTTCAGGAAACATTAGTTTCCTAAGATTTTTGTTAGATTGGTAGAGTTTGGGTGGGTTGACTTGAAGTTTCTGTGGGCAAGTGGACCCTAGGTAAAGTCTCAGGCTATACTACAGAAAAGAAACTGCTTGCATGAGTTCTAGCCATTCTGGTCTGGCTTTCAGGTGAGGGGAACAGAAGTTCATCCACATGGATATCCTGTTAGTGAGCTGGGCCATGTAAGGCCTATGGGCCAGGGCAGCTGCCTGGCAGCTCATGATTGTAGGTCATTAAAGGGCCAAACCAAGGCATCTGTTTCAACTAAGTTACATACGGTGGTCAGAATAAAGACCAGAGTCACTCTCCATGTCAGGAAGCCAGATTTTAAGTCTGGACATCTTTCATATATTTAGAAACAAATTTTTGTGAACCAGGAGGGTAACCACCCATAAAGTATAGAGAAAAAAAGTGTGATGGGGGGCCTACCCAGTGGCGCAGGGGTTAAAGACAGAGCTGTCAAGCTATTGGAAGCCTCTGCAGCATAAGTTCTATCCTGGCCAGCCCGGGAGCAACCCGGGAGCCTCACACGCTGCTCCCCTCAGCAGTGTATTTCAGTCGATCTGCCTATTGTGCTCCCCACTCTGTCTCTGGTGAATCCTCTCACCCCCCGCACCTCTGGCCTACACCCCAGTTCTTGTATGCATAAATAAATCTTTAAAAAAAGTGTGATGGCATCAAACATTTGAATAAGTTAGTTCTCAGTCCCACCCAGTTTCTCGGCTGGCCAGAGCTTCCCCTAAGAGAGCAGTGGCCCAATGAAATATAGTGCAAGGCACAGATGGGAGCTACAGATGTAATTTAAAGTTTTCTGGTAGCCACATTTTAAAAAGTAGAAAGGAAATGAATTTATCTTTCATATCTATCTTATTTAAGTCAATATATAAAAATGTCAGCAATTTCAATATATAATCAATATAAAATTAATAGGATATTATACATTTGAGGTCTTATATTTTTGAGATCTGGTGTTTAATTTACACAGGCAGCACATGTCAGTGTGGACTAGCCACATTTCATGGACTGACTTGTGATTAGCAGCTCCCATTTTAGACTGTGTAGATCTAAGGCTTATGTAGTTTTCTTACATAGCAGAGACTATTCTGGGCAGCCTGCTATTCACGGTTCTTTAAAAGTTATACCTAATTGTTATTTTAAAGGAATAAACTGGTCTTTGGGAGTTTTGTACATCAGACCTTTGTGCATTTGTCTACTGGGAGTTAGTACCTTTGGCCAATCAGCTCTGGTCCTTCATTATGTCAGGCTGACAGTCTGGTATTGGATGCTGGTGAATTCCCAGGGGGAATTCCTCTTTGTGAGAACATGGCCATGGCTAGCTGACCCCTCCTAGGCGACCACCCTGCCTTCCCCTACTACTTCTGTCTGCTGTGTGTTTTCAGCTCCCACAGTCCTTAGAGATTTAGAGTGCTGTGCCTCCCAGTGCAGATAATAACTTTTTGGGTAGCATTATGATTTCCTATCCAGCTAATTACTACAAAATTTTTTATCATAAATGCTAAGAGTATTGACTTACTGACTTATAAAGCCAGACATTTTCTAATGGTGCCTAGTCTGGGTAGAGCATTTGGATTTGTTGCTGTACCCTGTGCTCTACGTAAACGAGTCCTAGAACTTTGAAGTGACTGTTAAAGAGAAAGAAAGGAAAGGAAAAGGAGGGAAAGCTCAGTCACGATTTCCTCTTTCCTCCTTGCCCCACACCGGGTCAACTTCTCAGCAAAGTCAGCCATACTTTCCAGTAGAGTTCTATGGGAGGCTTGGGACTGAGTAATTCCTCTCTGTTCCCTTCAGCAGTCCCTGTCCGGGGGGCCTTCCCTCTCCTGCATGTGCCAGGTGTCATGGGTGCCCTCTTCTGCTGTTTCCTTTACTCTCACTTCTTGCCAGCTTACCACTACCTCTTCCCTAGACTTAAGAACTTTTCCTGCTCTGCACTCTGCTGTCATCCCCTTATACCTTTATTTTCCCATGAATACATCTGTCCAACTTTCTCCTGCTGACTGGCCTTGACACTGTGCTTCATGAACTTAACCCCTTACCTGGTTGCCTCTTTAAAATATGGCTTTTAAGACTCTACCCCCAGAGGTTGGTGGGATTGGAGGGTGGAGATGAGAATGTATATTGTGATAAACCCCCAGGGAGTCTGATGATAAGATCAGTTTAGGAACCTGTCTTCTGACAGCATTTTTTGAATGGAGATTGCCCTGCCCTTCAACTCATAGAAAAAGGCAATATGTAGCCGCCCAGTCTGCATCTGAGTCATTGTTATGGCACTACCATAACACTACCTTGGCACTACCTTTGCAGAGTGCTGAAATCTTTATGTCTCAGTTTCTTCACCTATAAAATAGGGATGGTGGCCCTGCTCCAGAAGGTTTTTGGAGGAATAGTTCTATGTGACCACACATGAAATAACTCACAATGGACCATGGTTGTAGAACTTCAGGAGCCAGACACAAGGGCACCTTCACCTCTGGATATACCGGGCTTATCTGCATTTGCAGTTGGCTACAAAATTGGGTTCTCAATTTCCCTCTGTCTGGGGCTATAATTCTTTTTAATAAATACATCAACAGTTACCTTCTTCAGCCATTAAAAGGCAGCTGGACCTCCCATTTGCCTGACATCCAAGTAGATGGTAACGATAGCGCTTATCTACCAGGCTCTGTGCTCAATATGTGACTTAGTTATCTTAGGGTAAGGTAAAACTTGTTAAAATAACTGGTATTAGAAAGAGTAAACTCTAAAATAGTAGGGAAATATCAGCTCATGCAGTATCTTGAGCCTTTCGGAAAATCATGAGGTTGTAGAAGACTAAAATTCTTTGCTCTGATGGGGCGATGATAACAGTCTTAGGTGTTTACCACGTGCTAGGCATTGCCTAAACATTCTATGTCCATCAATTTATTTCATCCTTCCAAAACACTCTGAAGCAGGGCCACTATCCCTATTTTATAGGTGAAGAAACTGAGACATAGAGATTTCAGTCACTTTGGGTCATACAGGGAGGAAATGGAAGAGCTGGGAGTGGATCCTGGGCAATCTAGTTCTAGAACCCTTACTTTTATTCAGCACACATTTTGGCCTACTATGAAAGCAACTTCACCACCATCAATAATAGGTTGTCAGTGTTTTCTGGCACTCAGCATAATCTCCTGGACAGCTCATATTCACCAACTTGCCTTTTCAGTCAGTCACAGCTTGTCCATGGAACTCAGCCTCCCCATTTATCTCCGCTTCCTGTCTCTTAGGTCTTAGACTTCCTGTGGTCCACTCAGACATTGGTTTCTGGAACACTTTCTTGGGCATTCAGGTTGCTATAGTAGAATTTCTGTCCAGCTCCCTGGTCCCCCAGTGTCTCTCTTCCCAAGATAGTCAGACTGTGTCCTCTGGCAATGGACCAACCCCCAAAAGTCACACTCACCTTTAAGCCAAGGTCCAGTTCCCTCAGTGAGCGCTGGATCTCTCTAGTGAGGATATTCATCCGCTCACACTCCTGGAAGGCAACCACAATGTAGGGGGTGCGCTCTTCCACTTTGGCCATCAGCTCTGGGATGTTAAACTCATCTGTCATCCGCTCCAATATTTCTTCCAGGAGTGCTTTGACCTGCCGCACAACAGAAAACACAGGGTGAAGACAGGGCTTCAATTGTCCAGAGGATTCCATTGCCTTGTAATATGGTATTAAAAATGCCAATCATCCATCCCTGGCCATAATGTCACTTGTTTAGGTCAACTGGGCCAGGACTTGATGATGGCCACAGGTGGTTTCTCCATGGGCTGACCAGTTCCCTATGACTTGTGTGATGAACATAGATGACTTTTTAAGAACTGGGAGTTAAAAAAAAAAAACCCAGACACTGACCCAGTTATCTGTGAGACACTTAGATGTAGGGTGATCATTTTGGACCATGTGAAGCTGAAATGATGAGCAGCAGTGATGTATGTACAGATTTCCATTCTGAGTTTCCATGAGGTTGTACTATGGTTTCTACCCTTGGATCTTAGAAGAATCATCCCCACCTACCATCTAAGCCTCCTCCACAACCCTGTGATTCCTTTTGCCACACGAACTGTCAGCTAATTAGACAGTGAGAGCTAGAACTACCAGGATCTCTCCCCTGGAAAATTGGAATTAGGGCATTGTGATACTGTTTTTTTATATATTTTTTATTATTTTTCATCAATGTTCATTTTTAAACAATATTTGCTCCCCGCCCCTCAGTTATAGTCCCCATAGCATTTCCTTCACCAATGCACCCTGCACAATCACCTCAGTACCCTGTGCTCCTCCTTCCCTCCCTCTGATCCCTCTTCCACTTCCTCCCCTGCAGTATGTCTCTGATTTATAATTGTCCATTTTTGCTTTGTTGTGTTTTGTAGTTATTATTTTTTTTTACACTGATGTCTTATTGGGCTTCCCTGTATTCCTGCTATAAGTGAAACCATACCATATTTTTCTTTTTCCTTCTGGCTTATTTCACTGAGCATAATTCCTTCTAGTTCCATACACATTGCTGCAAATGGCATGAATTTATCTTTTTTGATTGCTGAATAATATTCCATTCTGTATATATGCCACATCTTCTTGATCTAGTCATCTATTTTTGGGCATTTGGGTTGTTTCCAGGTTTTACCCATTGTAAATAGTGCTGCAATAAACATAGGTGTACAGGTGCTCTTTTGAATCAATGTTTTTGTGTCCTCTGGGTAGATCCCTAGGAGTGGAATTGCCGGGTCATATGAGAGATACTTTTTTTTTTTCTTCAGGATTTATTTATTTATTTATACAAGCACTGGGTACAGTCAGAAACACAGGAGGGTGAGAGAATTCACCAGAGTCAGGTGGGGAACAGAACAGGCAGAGTGATGAAATACACTGCTGAGGGGAGCAGCAGGCGTGGCAGGAGAGGTCTGTCGCGCCATGTGGGACCCTCGCCGGTGGCCGGGGATTGAACCAGTGCTGCAGAGGCTGCAGGCAGCTTTACAACCCAGCGCTCAACCACTGCACCACCAGGGGAGGCCCAATACTTTTTTTTTTTTTTTTTAAGATTTATTTATTTATGCATATAAGAACTGGTGTAGGTCACAGGTTTAGGGGGGTGAGAGGATTCACCAGAGACAGAGTGGGGAGCAGAACAGGCAGATTCATTGAAATATACTGCTGAGGGGAGTGACAGATGAGACAGGAGCGATCTGCTGTGCCATATGGGTCAGTTCCCTGGCCAGGGATTGAACTCATGCAGTATTAGCTGGCAATAGCTTGATAGCCCTGAGACTTTAACATCTGTGCCACCAGAGAGGCCCAATACTGGGTTATTTTGTGGCAAGCATTTAGAGTCTAGTCTGCCATTTTTTTTTTTTTATCATACTTGGATTCCTACATTATACCCATTTAAAAATAAGTGATAATGTATTTTAGGACTAAATGTAAGAGCTAACATTAGAAAAAAATATAGTAGTAATTTTTATGACCTTCTCTTTTGTGTTAGTTTCTTTTTTTTTTATTTTATTTTTTTAATTAATAAATTTTATTTTTATATTCCTCATACATTTGCAATCCCCCCATTCTGACCCCAATCCCTCCCTCCCACCCCCCCACCCCCCAAAAAGTGTCTCTCGTTCATAGTTTTTGTTGATTTTGATTTTCACTTTCTTATAGTTATTCATTTTCCTGGTCCCTTATTTAAGTATTCTAGATTCCTGCTATGAGTGAGACCATCCGGTATTTTTCTTTTTCTTTTTGGCTTATTTCACTGAGCATGATCCCTTCCATTTTGAAGCAAATCAATAAGCCAAGAAGGTTTGTCAGCAGAGAAGAAAAAAAGAAACAAGTGCAGTCATAGCAGAATATGAAGCCAGCAGGGAGAGTAAGGCAGCGAGTGAGTGCCTACCTTTCCTGGTGTCATGCACGAGTAGATGGCTATTGTTTTGATCTGCTCACCATCTCTTCCCCAACTTTTTTTTTTTAATGCGGTTTAATTAAAGCCCCCTTTTCAAAGTGGCCTGCAGGGGGCCTGCAAGCACATGGCTAGGGATAGCTTACTTCCTCTAATCTCAGGTGGCAATGGAGGGACCACCTGATGTCACTCTGCCAAACTCTTAGTGTCCTGGATCCCCAACCCCAGCCTGGCATAAGCATAAAACCACCAAGTTTCCAGTTAGGGTTAGTGAGAAATGAGAGAAATTATATTTTAAGTGAAGTGAGAGAAATTATATTTCAAGTGTAGAGCAGAATATGAGACTAAGCAGTTCTTTTGTAGAACATAGAAAATATAAGCTGGATCTCCTGAGTGAAAAGGTTTGGTTATTGCTTGGCATTGATGTATAGTTTTCATTTAATTTTTGAGAAAACATATTATTTTTGAAACAAAGTACAGTGAGTCCTCACTTAACCTCATCAACAAGTTCAACTTTAGTAAAATGATGAAACCAATTTTACCATCAATGAATTGATATAAACAAGAGTTATAATCTCCCAATATATTCTTGGTCCTAAAAAATTACCAAATTTCTAATAAAAGCCTAAAGCACTTCTAATATTAACCAATAATTTGTAATCATTTACTTATTCATTCAATCATTGTCCAACCATTCCAGTTCAGGGTGGTGGGTAGCCAAAGTTTCTCATGGCAACTCAGGATGTAAGGCAGGAACCAAACCTGAATAGAATGCCCTTCCACTGGCACTGATATTTTTCTCATGGACGTGAATGCTTATTTGTTATAATGCTTATCAACCTTTACTGCTTACTTTTGGGGTCATAAATGATATCACTGACTTGAAGACCAGACGACACAAACCTGCCAATGAAGCATCAGTATCTATTTCAAAGTTTCTAGTTATTTTAAAGTCTGAGCCCAAAAACAGGTCCTCATGTTCTCTTGTGAAAATACCTCTTCCTCATTGTTTTGGGGGTTTAGCCACTAGACCCAGCCCTGCCATGACCCCAGTTAAGTCCATTAGATTATCTTTCCCAGGAACATGACAATTTGAATCTCAAACCTAGGATTCAGGTACGGAAAGTGGCTGGAGCCGCTGACAGGATGGAGATATCCTGAAAGGACTATCCTCTCTGCTTTCTCCCTGGGAGCCTAGAGTAATTGTGGTTTCTATTCCCTCTTAAGTTGATTCCTTTGATATAGTGAACTATTTCTTGCCTGTATCAGCTAAATTAGTTTCTGTTGCTTACAACCAAGGAACCCTGACTGAATTACAGTTCTGTTATGCATTACCCATGGGAGTTTAAGCAAGTCATTTAAGCCTCAATTTTCTCATCTATTAAAATTTCCAGGAACATCTTTCTCCACTTCCTTCACTCCCTCCTTCCTCCTCCCCTCTCTCTATCCCTCTCCTCCACCCAGGACTGATACGAAGATCAAATCACATGAGTTGATAAATGTGGCAGCATCTGAAATCTATGAAGAACTATATAAATGTGAAGGATTATTAATATTCACTTTGCCTTGTATTGTTAACATAATACATTTTCCAGGAAAAGAGCTGATTTTAGAAAAAAGAAAGTAAAAACCTCATCGCCCTGTCACAAATGGATCTCGGGTGCTGTCATAGCAAAAACTGAAATGGAATTTTAATGGTACCTGAAAACTGCTGCTAGGGTTGAAGACAAATGGCTAAAATTATATCATATTTCTGTCTCTGGAGTTGAATTTGAAGAAACAGCCCTGTATCAGTGAGCTGCCATTTGGGTATTAGTCACAAAGAGATGAAAAGATAGTCTGGGGGCATTGTTCAAAACACAATGAACATGGGGAAACAGAGATTTATCAGATTGTGGAAGAGCTGGAGAGCAGGCCTGAGGAGGTAAGAACTGTTAGGGAAGGGAGTAGATCCATAGACAGAAAGGACCCTTCACGCTCAGAGAGGTGCAGGGGCCCCTTCCTACAGAAGGAGTGAATTCTAAGGGATGTGACCTATTTTATTTTACAAGCAAATAAAAATTTAAACATTACAAATCCATATGGTATTAAAAACAAAACCCTTATCCTTCCATAATTTTGTTTTTTTTCTAAAAGGGGAAGAATGACTACTAATTTTTTAGTTTAAAACTTCTGCAGATGTCCTTCAATGCATATTACTCTATTTCTGTATTCATCTATCATCCATCTACTCATCCATCCATCCTTTCATCATGCATGCATGTATCTATCTATCCATCCATCCATCCCATCTGTTGTATCTTTCTTTTCTCTCCCCCACCCTCATTTCTTTCTATCATTAATAGATCATTGTACACATAGCTTTTCCAGATTGTTTTTTTTCACCTTATAGTAAATCTTGGACACATTCCCTTGTTATTACACAAGTATTTTGCTTTGCTTTATAAAATAGTATATACTATTCCACTGTTTTGGCATGCCATAATTTACTGAATAATTACCCTACTGATGAATATATGGTCTATTTATCATTTGTTCTACTATAAATAATCCTACAATTAATTAATATTAAATTTAAATATATTATAAAACCAGCTTACTTTTTAATATTTACACTAGTTCAATTCCCATAGAATTATGGGTAAAAATATAAGCATTTTAATTTAGTAGCTGTTGTCAAATTGGCTTTTAATGTAAACCTCCTTTACCAACAGGGATGAGAATGCCTGTTTCCTTATGCTGTCACCACTGGACGTTATCCCACTTTAAAATCTTTACCATGAGGTGAAAGACAGTATTTCATTTGACTTCACTTAGTTTTGGATCATGTTGAGAATATTTCACTTTTTTTTTTTTTTTTTGGCCACTCATATTATGTGGATTTTTTTTGTGTCTTTCTTCACCTTCTTTTGCTCCCTCCCTCAGTTTCCAGATCTGAGAACTCTTTGTTTATTAGTAAATGTGCTCACTCCCATGTATCTGTGTTGCACATAAGTTCCCCTGGCTTGACTTTGTTCATAGAGTTTTTTTTGCTTGGCAGGGGCTAAGGTGTTGACAAGGCTAAGGGAGGTGGAGAAGCTCTTAGGGGTGAAGTGCAAGCATGTTAAGGCTGCACCCACATGTGTGAGGCCTGGTCTGCGCTGTGTACTGCCAGTTGGTCCTGGGGAGGTCTCCTTCTGTACTCCCTGTGCTCCCCAGAAAGAGGTCCAACAACCCCCACCACGTACCTTTTCTTCTCTAGTGGCCCCAACTCCATCTCCGGCTTGACTGTCCCGGGGCTGCATCTCCAGCACTGTGCGAAAGAGCTTTTCTGAGGTCTGGGTCAGGAAGCCAATCTCTGCATTTGGGTGGAGGCCGTAGAGATAAGGTGACTCTGGAGGCAGCTCCGCATCAATGTACTGGAAGTCAATCAAGGGTAAGCCCACTTAAAAACCAACCAAGATGTATCTCCCATGTCCCACTGTGGTTTGTTGTCTGAAGGGCAGGACAGTCACACAGGCCTGCGCAGACCTCAGGCCTTGGCCTGCCAGGTGAATCTGCTCACCAATTCTGTGGATGTCAGCATGCTCTACACCTGTTAGTGCATATCCTTCCCATTTGCCTTTCCTTGACATCATCCATTTTAGTATGCCACACCAGTTTCCCAGAACTTTCACATTTATGAGTTCATTCTCCTTTTCAGGAAGTTCAGATGACTTTATCCAACTCCAATCTCACCCTCTGCTGCTGCTCCCTGACATATGCCTGTCCCTCCCCACATGAGGACTCCTTCAGAAATACTAATCCTTTCCTGGTATTTTTCACTCAAGTTTTTCTAGGATCCCAGCCTTCTTCCCCTTTTTTCTCCCCTCTGACTAAGTCAAGGATGACAAAACTAAATGCAAATATGGGGCCCTGGAGAAGGGGATAGGAGAAGGAAGGGGATAGTCATTGGCATGGGAGATTTGGTGGAGGATGGGTGGAGAATGTGCACATGTGGAAAAGTAAAAATTTAACCTCAAAATCATATAGACACGCAAATGACAGACAAATTGATAATAAAAAATGAGGAAAAATGCATGCAAAATCAATGGGTGAGTCCTGCTGTAGGTTGAAGTGAGTTTTACAGTGAACTGGTAGTTTCATGCCCCTGATGAAATGTATTTGAACTTAAAAATTTGAAAATAGGGTGCCACCCAGTTGAGCACAGTTCGCCACCCTTAAAAGTCCTCCCAGATTTTACAGCTCTTTTTTTTTTCCTCTCTGAATGTTCTCTAAATACCTCTTCCCAATTCTTTGGATTACAGTGAAAAAATGTCCTGAGTGTAGCTCCTAATTTGATTTTGATGATTTCTCAATGTTTGCAACATATAAACTGAGTAAAAGATTGCTCATGTCTTAAAGACAAATGACAAATTTGCATGTGTTTATTTTTGTATTTCTTCCAACACCCAACAGACTTATGGACTCTTGCTATGTGTCCTAAAACCATTTATTAACTGAAAGGTTAAAGAGAAGAGAAGGTCAAGGCAAAGGAGCATCTTACTCATTCTTTTGGAAGTTGTGCAAACCATGTTATTCTTGCTCATCACACAATCTCCGATCAAATTGCTCTATGGACACTAGGGGATGCTCTTACACAATTTTCTTGACTAAAGCTTTGATTAAAGCTACTTTTGGTCAAGCAGTTTGTTTTTAAAATTCCTCTCATTTTTTTAAAAGAAATTGTTTGTAATTTCTTTTCATAAGTCCACCATGTCTGAATCTAGTGACTTTTATGACTTACTTTCTTAAATTTTATAAATTAAAAAAAATGAAACTTGTAACTTAAGGGACTGGTATTTCTCTTAAGTTTGGTATTTAAGAGTTCTTTTAGGTATGCTCAAAAGTAAGGCCTTAAAAATCATTATATATATGTATGTGTATATATATATATATACACACACATATATATATTTTCATGGCAAGTCAAATAGGCAAAGATGAATACCTTAAAAATAGCTACAGTAAGAGGAAAATAAAAACCCACGATAACAGTAGGGAAAAAGCCCCATGAGAATGTCTTTTCAGTATGTGGAGGTGGGAATGTGAGCTGGTATTCAGATAATAGCTGGGGTGAAGGCTCTATCCACAAGATCATGTCCTTCTGAGATATTTAGAATCACTAATATAAACTTTACTAAAAGTTGTCTAAGTTCTTACCTGAAATGTTGCTCTTAATGGTTTTGTCAATATGTTGAATGAAAACAATCAAATAAATGCCCCAGATGTTCTTTGTAGAAAAGAGCAACAAATAGAATTATTGAACCAAACATCAAGAATGAAATCTCTGAAGGCTCAATTTTATCATTGATTTGAAGCGAGAAATCCTATCTCTCAAACTGAACAGGGTGAACTTGGCCCTGAGAAGCAGACTCTATATCAACTCAGCTCTTTAACCATTCTTCCCTGGCCCTGTGCAAGCATCCTGAGCTGAGCAGAGCAGCATAGAACTTGCGTGAGCAGCATCAGGCATCATGAGGAAAGGGCAGCCTTACCTGATGGTAACCATTGTAGTCCATGTTCCCTGGCAGTGGGAACCCTGGGGCCAGAGACAGCTCTCCTTCTAGCATTTCGGGTTTAATGAATTCCTCCAGGTAGGTTCTGCAGAGTCTCCTGTCCCAGTCATCTGTGATATGGCCTCCATACATGATCTCTCCAAAGAGATAACGCAAGTCATCATAGGGGACCTGAGAGATGGGAAAGAGAGCAATTCCATCACATAGGTGGTGGGGTTGGCCCCATATGTGGGAAGAACCTAAAGCCAAAAGATGGCATGCTTCCTGAGATAGGGAGCAATATTTTTACTTACTTGCAAGGCCCAAGGCCCAGCAGCATGGGGCACAAGTGGGAGCTCTCTAAATGCTTGACGAATTTCATCATGAGATGAGGAGAGGTGTTAACCCTCTCACATCTATGCCTTCCCTTATTCATGGCCATTAACTGTGGCAATAATGTCAGGTTCTACTTACAAGTCCTTTATTTAAATAGACAATGTCAAATGGAGAAAAGTGAGGACCAGGGTTCTTTTCTAATTTCCTGCCATAATTAGCATATTAATGAATTGCCACTTTTGAAAGTTCAGAGCAAATGAAATACAGCATGCAAGTTCTCTGTTGTTGAAGTTGGGGGGGTGGGTGCCACTTGGGGAAAGCCTTGAGGCAGTGCAGCAGATGGAGGGATGATATGCGAAGGGTGGGCTTTCCAGGACCCAGGAGCTGAAGGCAGCTCCTGGTCTGATCTGTCCTCCCTCCTCCACCCAGAAGGAGGAAGTGCTTGCTACCTTGCTGATGCTGCGTGTTTGGCCAATGAACCAGAAAAACCTAGATGGTGTGGGCATTCCTTCAAATGGAGGAGGATGGGGCCTCCTTGGTGGCACAAGGGGTTAAGACACAACCTATGAAGCAATCTGCAGCCACTGCAGCACAAGTTCGATCCCTGGCCAGGGAGCAACCCACATGGCACAGCAGACCTCTCCTGACTGGCCCACTGCTCCCCTCAGCAGTGAATTCGGTCAGTCTGCCTGTTCTGTTCCCCTTTCTGTCTCTGGTGAATCCTCTCATCCCCTGCACCTCTGGCCTGTACCCCAGGTCTTGTATGCATAAATAAACAAATCTTAAAAAAAAAAAAATGGAAGAGGATGGATTGTGAATGGAAGTTTTCTTCGAAAGGCAGATATCAGAGAATAAGCCAAGAAGACTTTGGCTTCTTCTCCGACTTTAGCAAGACCACACCTATGTGAGGAGCTGTGTGCCCCAAGAGAAGTTCTGGGTGCTTGGCTAATTAAATTGGGAATTTGAATCAGGTGGGTATGGGGCCTCTTTCTGCCAATCTACAGTCGTCTGCAACCTGGGAATGCCCAGAGGTGGTCTGGGGGGCCTTGGCATGAGAACTTAGGGGACCAACTGACAGCATGTATGGGTCATTAGCTTGTTTCCTGAGCTTTCTTAGTTCTGACTTCACCATGGCATTCTCAGCCTCATAGAGATCATGGAGTTGACTAGTTGGTTAACTTATACTTAAAGCTTGTACTTTGTAATTCCACTTAGACCTTCCTCAGTATGCTCCTGCTGATAAGGCATCATCCTGAGAGGTGGCCCTGCCTCCCAAACCCCCCCTTCCCCCATGCTGGCAGGGCCCTTTACCTTTGCATTTGCCTCCAGGAAGTTGTAGAGCACATTCACAGAGATGGTAAGGTCCCCGGTGTTGAAGGGGTAAGAACGATTCCACCCCTGGGGACCAAACTTGCGCCTTTCTGCCACTACCGCGTGAAAGTAACAAAGAGCAAAGAGGATGCTCTTAAATTCTGTCTCCCGGGAACACATCTCCAGGGTATCCTGAAAGGAAAGCATGGTTTTTAATGTTAGCACAGAGCTGCTGTTACACAGGGCAGGTTGGGATGTGATTATGGTGGCAGGACACTGTGTTTGGAATAGTTTCTTTGTGTCTTGGTCAGGCTTTGAGCTACCGTGAGGCTGCAGGTTGTATTGTGATTTGGTGTGGGGGGACCTTTGCTGAGTTTAGAATCTGGGTTAAGGTTTAGATTCAGATTATAATGGGGTTTGGTTTAAAGTTATAGCTTATGCTTATGAATGTGCTAATTAAGTTCCCAAACATAGTTAATGAAAATGGTAGTGGGCAACGGGAGTGTTGTGGTGTTTGTCACATTTTATGTCGCTTTGTGCTGGGGTGTGGGTGAGAACCTCCACAGCATCATCTCTAATTTCTTCCCTTCCTACCATGTTTTTCTTGCCCTTTGTTGAAACCTAGTAGGTGTAATTACTGTCTATGTGACTGAGGAATCCTCAGCGCATCTGTTGGGGGAGTGCTGAAGGAGGGAGAAGATGAAAGTGGAACCTGAGAAACAAGAGGAAAGCTGTGTTCACCTTCCACACTGCTCCACTCAACCTTTGCAGGGGTGATCGGACATGGGGAAGCAAGGGCACAGAGGCATCCTAGCTGCAGGGATAAAGGAGGGGGGACAAACCTGAATCATGGGGAGGGGATGAAGAAAACGATGTATGGAGAAAAGAGGAGTGGGAGATGTTCCAGAAGAAGGCCTTGCAATTGTGTTTGGTGGATTTTAAGGGGGGTGGTGGTGATGGTGGAGAGGAGAAAGCCTGCATTTTGCAGGGATGGTGGGATCCCTGAATTATTTGGAATTAAAACTACTTTTCTCTGAATGAGACCCTCTTTGTTCAGGAAGGAGCAAGATATTTCAGGTAGAGGCCTAGAGAGGCACTTTAAAGCTCACACAAATTGGACTGGGTTCAGTCCTGACAATTCTAAGAATTTGTCTTTGGATTTGTTTACCTGGGAAGGAGGTGCAAAGGAGATGGGACAAACTAAGCTTCTGCTAGGTCTGGTTCTTCTATGAAGAAGCCATGACACAGTCTCAGTCTCTCTCTGGGTGTGTGTGGGTTGCTCTGGTGCTTTTACTGGGTGTTTAAAAATGCCTTTAAGCATAAAGACAAGAAATCACAAACTAAAGTGCTGAAACCAGTGGGCAGTGGTATGCTGAAACAAAGTCAGAATAAAATAACCAACCCAAATATCATAGCTAGCAGGGAGGCAGGGATAAAAAGAACATATTTCTTCAATTTGTCCTTGAAATGGTTGCAAATGGGACTCTGAAAGAAGAGATTGAGTAAGAGGGCTCAATAGCCAGGCCAGTTATAAATGCAGAATGAAACAATTAAAACTGTGAATGAGTACTTATAAGTCTGTCTCAGAGTGAGTTACTTAAGATGGCCATACATGGGCAAAAAACAACTGGAAGGGACAGACTAACCAGAAAAAGGACCAGTATCTTCAGATATATTCCTGGGTTGCCGGATAACCAAGACTGGACATCAGGCTTGTAGGACAAGTAAGTTCAACAAAGGTCCATGGGAGGCTGAGAAGATGAAGCCAGGTATGACTGTAGATGATGTACTCCCACAGAGCAACAATATTATCATATTAACTGTCAGGAGACACAGCATCTGCTGCCTTTCTTTCTGGCTCTGTCCCAGAGCCTCATGAGCTGGGAATGGCTGCTACTTATCCTTCAACAGAACTAGCTAACTGCATCCAAGTGCATTTTCTTTTTTCAACTTTTAATTGCTGAAAAAAACCCCATGGTAAACTCTATATATTAAATTTACAATCTTAACCATTATTAAGTGTCCAGTGGGGTGGCATTACATGTGTTCTCAATGTTGTAGACATAATGTCTTTGTTTTTGCTGGTGAGTAGTAGATGAAAACTCTTCAATGGACTCTTGCTTAACAGCTTTATTGAGATGTAACTCACAAACCATACACATCATCTATTTAAAGTATATACTTCAATGTTATTAATATATCCAGGGTTGGGTGACTATCACCACAATTTAATTTTAGAGTGTATTCATTGCCCCTAAAGAAAACCAGATATTCATTCATTGCCAATTTTCATTCCCCTACTGTATCAGCCTTAGACATCTACTAATCTACTTTCTGTCTCTACTGAGCTCTTATTCTGGACATTTCACATAAATGAAGCCTTTCATGTCTGGCTGCTTTCACTTAGCATAATGTTTTCCAGGTTACTCTATGTTATATCATGTCTTGGTATTTGGTTTTCTGCCAAAGAGTGTTCCACGGACATGCCATATATTGTCTGTGCACACATGATGATTTTTAAGGGTAGAAATGCTTTTGCTTGAAATCAACTATAACCTCCTATAAAGAAGACTATAAATTTCAAAGAATGTATATTTTCTCCATGTGGAATATAAAGTCTAGAACATTTAGAAATTTTGATCTCTGGTGCAAAGTACCTAGGAATTTATTTAAGACCTCTTTAGGAAAAAAATACAAAATAAAGGAAAGAAAATGCCCCTAGCTGAGGATGCACATGACCTTTTGCCTCATGTTTCAATGAGCAGGTATTTCCTAACAGGAAGAGCAAGCAAAAATACCCCAAATTTCCTAGTAATGTTCCCCCATTCTTTGGTCTAGATTATGTGTGGGTTTGGAGTTGGGTTGGGAAGGTGAGTGAAAAAGGAGGAGAATGAACCAGGTTTGCTTCTCAAATCTGCAGAAGTTTCCATCTCCAAGGTGGACTGCTTACCTCCTGAGCTATGAGGAGTCTTAAAAACCCAGTAAAATGTTCTGAGACTCTGTCCACTGGTTGTCATCTCAAGTTAGACCATGTCCTACAAGGTTGCTGGTCCTGAAGGTTCATGTTGGGTTAGCTACAACAGTAGTTTCCTGTTGGATGACTTATTAGATGACTTGTTTCAAGTTAACTAGAGACCCTTCTGGGACTCGTGGTGAGTTCTAGCATGGGTTCTGTGAAGCTGGAGAACCACTGGTGCTCATGGCATCAGAAAGGAAAATCTTGTCAACAGATGCTTGAACTTCTTCCCTTTGGACTCCACCAAGGTCCATATTGGGGAACACATATTAAGGTTGGTCTCATGGCCCCTACCATCCTGGTATTTTGTGTACTCTCCTTCCCATGAACTCTCCAAGGAAGAAGCAACAAGAAAGGACGTCTTTCTGAGAAGATAAAAGAGGCCAGAGCTGCAGACTTTGTGTAAGTGCTACTTTAGATACAGAGTTGGCCACCTATGAATTTGGCCTCAGTTTTAAATAAACACTCTGCAACATGAGTCTTGGAATTCCCAGTAATGAATCAAGTGGTAGCCTGCATTTGCACACTACACCTTGATATTTTGAGTCTCACTGGAGCAAAATGTTCCCAAACTTGACTATGCATGAGAATCACTTAGAGGGTTAGTTAGAACACAGATTCCTGGGTCACACCCCAGAGTTTCTGATTCAGTAGGTCTGGGTGGGGCTTGATAATTTGCATTCTAACAACTTGGTCCCAGATAATGCTGATGCTATTGGTTTTCAGGTCATAGTCTATAAGTCTAACACATGGTTACATTGCAAGCCCAGATCCCACTATCTGATACCTGGATTATTTGAATGTATTTTACTCAAGATGCAGGCAGAGGGCAACTGTTATCATCTGAACATGAACATCTTTGTTTTCTTGACAAGCATGTGACTAGTAGTACAGCTCATTTATAGTGAACAACATGCTCTTCTTCATGCTGAAATATTTAGATCACATATAGACCTCTTGTCAAAGAAAGACCCTAAGATTGGCAACCCCATGAGAGTCTGGGCATTGAGAATGGAGTTGGGTGGAGGTCAGTCATGAAGGGAAGGGATATAACCCACACAGCACATTGTTCCACAGTCCAGCCAGCACTCTGCTCCACTCCCAGTGGCATGCTCTTCTCCCACCCAGTTGAATTAGTTCTTATGGAGGTGATGTGTTCATCCCCTGTTCCCAGGGCCATACCTGAGTGAAGTTGTCCAGTGCCTTGTGCAGGTTGGCATGCATGCCCGTGGGAGGCTCATTGGTGATTTTAATGGAGTTCTCCAGGATGCCCTGGGGGATGATGTGACCCTCAGGGGAGGGTGCAGGCTCTGCACTGATGAAGACTCTGAATTTTGGGTGGCTGTTCTTACTATGCTCCTCCAGCTTCTTCTCCAGGGTGCCAAGCCACTTGGCTACCAGGTGGATGTTCTGGTGGGAAAGAAGGGCCCCCGACATAGTACTCCACTTAATTCTGTTAGCAATAGACACTCATCAGAAAGGCAGTTAGAGAAGGGACCAGTCCTTAGTTTCAAATACATTACAACATGAATCTTGGGATTCCTAGTAATGGGGACTAGTATCCTGCAATTGAACCCTATCCTTGCTATTCCAGGGGTTGTTAGAGCAGATTTGTGGACCTCACTCCAGAGTTTCTGAACAAGTGGCTCTAGGGTAGGACCTGAAAATTTGCACTTCTAGCAAGTTCCTAGGTAATGAGGATGCCTCCAGCCTAGGAGTCACACTTGGGAGTCTAACATGTGGTTACATTCTAAGTTTAGATCCCACTGTCTGACACTTGGATTATTTGAAACTGTGATCTTCAGAAGTGGGACTTCTGGACCAGCAAAGTTAACATTACTTGGGAGTTAGTTAGAAGTGCAGACTCATAAGCTCTGCTCAAATATATTGAATCAGTTTATTTTAATAAGATCCTCCAGTGGTTTGTATGCATGTTAAAAATTGAAAAGCACCGATTTAAACTCCTTCTAGCTAGCTCTTTTGACTCCTCTCCCCCAGTCTCCAAACCATTCAGCTAATTGTTGCCAAACTTATCTTCCTAAAACACACTGAGTCATTGCTGCTTGCAGACAGCAACGGCACTCCCTACTCTAAGCACAAGCTCTTCTGTCTGGTTTTTGAGTCTTTCTTTTCTCCCTGATGGATTCCTATCTGTCTGTCTAGGTAAACCTACCTTTATTTCTTAACACTACTTTGCAAATGCACCTTTCACTTTGGTGAGGATAGACACTTTGCTGCATTGCAATGTGTTTCATTATGATGGCTAGATAAAAGTGCCTCAGTAAATATTTGAGGAAGCCTGCTCCCAGAGCCTTAAACACACAGATTGTCGCTGAGCACAGTACTTGGGCTACAGCAGTCTGGTCTCTGAGTGCTGCTTTCTCTTGTATAAAAGAAATAACAATAATATTTGCCATGCTTAATACACAGAATTGCTGCAAGTAACCAAAGGTGATGCATTTAAAAGGTCTTTGAATACTGCAAAATGCTATGTAAGAGCTAGCAGTGGTTGTTGAAGTGAAAATTTGTTAAATTAGAGACTTCGTTTATAACTGTTCTATTGAACAGGAGATTTCAGTCTGCTGCCTTGCAAGCCAGGGTTCCAGAGAGATGTGCAATGCCAGGGACCCACAAGTGGGTAAGTGATACATCTTTAGGAATTCCAGATTCTGAATTTAATCTCAGAAACCACATCAGCACAAGGGTGGGAGTCCTGGCAGCCAGTAAGTGCTGGGGGAGGAAACACACTGTTGTCTAAGGGATAGAGTTCTTCAAGATGCTAGTGCCCACAAGGAGGTCTCTTTGACCAATGTGCCCCAGACAGTGGGGAGGTCATACCCTCCCAGCACCATGTGGATCCACGTGGAAGGAAGCAGAATGCCAGCCACTGTCATTGTTTCTCCTGAGATGCCCACAGTTGCTAGAAAAGACATCTCAGGGAATGGCAGATCTCCAGCTGCTAGGTTTTGAATGAATGATGAGATAATTAAAGATGAAGATCCAACAGCAAGATGTGGTACATGAATAGTCAGGAGAGAAGAAATTCTTGCTAATCAAAGCCAGAATAGGATGGGAGTGACTGTTTTTCCATTTATTCTTTCTTTCATTGATTTCTTCATTGATTATTTTTGTTGAGTGTTTTCTGTGTTCAAGGCAGTGCTCTGGGTGCCAAAAGGTAAATAAAGAATGTCTCTTTCCCTAAGGAAATGTAGTGAAGGGCATAGCCATATAATAAATCATTTCAATATGGCCAAGGTCACTCTAATTTGGGTGATTGCATGATGTTATAGGAGAAAAGAGCAGCACCTGGCATCGATGCAGTTGCACAAAACAGGAATAAGTGGCCATAACCAGAGATTTGATTTCTTATAATTTATCAGTGAGATTACCAGTGGTAGTTGTTTCAGATTTCCAAGTACCAACAGGAACTCTCAATAAAGAGTCTAAGTTCTAACCTGTAATAGAGAATGTATAACAGGTAACACAATATAGAAAGGTCTATCAGAAAAAAGTTAGGTGAAATGTATGGAAAGAGATCAGCAGCTAAAAAAATCCAGCTGTCTCTATCTTCAACTGAATACCAACTTCCAAAGGTTATACCAAAGTAGGAATCAACTTCTTTTTGTTAGTAAAGTTATTTAAACTGCTGAGAATGCCAGGAGCACAGCAGGGTGGGGAACAAAGAAAGGATTATTGGGGATAGGGTAAAGAAGAGGACTACAGAGAGAATTGGAAAGAGAGAAGACTAGGAAATGAAGAAGAGGGTAAGGATGTAGAAGGAAAGGCAGCAAAAGGAAGAGAAGCCAGGTGCCCAGAGGTTGTGATGTGAGGTCCAAACAGGTATGGGATCGAGAGATCAGGGCAGAGGGGGGGCATACCTGCAAAATAACCCAGTGACCTTTCTTGGCAGCTAGGTCCAGCGCGGCCTCAGCCACGACCTCCTGTCCCTGCCCCAAAGATACATTGTGGAAGTTCCGATTGTTGAAGGTATATCCCAGTTTTTTACCTAAAAGAAGTATGTTGTCATTGTTATCTTTTGGTTTAATGATTTATGTTGTTTAATGTTCATAAGTTCATATACACCTCTATATTGCTCTCAAACACAGACATGCCTGAACCCATACACCAAACCACATATACTGAGGGGTCAACATCTCCCAGTTTTTTGTTTTCAAATAAAAGGATGTATTTCTCTACACCAAATTGCTTCACCCTGCCCTCCTCACTTAGTCCCTAGAATGGGTCATCGTGCTGGTGCTCTTCTGTTTAAATTCCTTTTGAGGCCAGGTATTGGGCCATTGTCCTAGAATGCTGATATGAAAAAGCCTCAAAGAATAGCAAGTACATGGGGATGGCTTCTTCTAACTTACTTTGTTCTCTGAATATAAATTTTCCTTGTACCTTTACTGGATGATGTGATCAGAAATAGTTCTGGTTTCCCACATTTAATGTCATATTAACCCCCTCCCTTGCTATTCTCAGTATGTAGACAATTTTATTTCATTGTTTTTCATGCATCAAACTGAAGAGAGGCAAGTAGAAAGACAAGAAGGGACTTGGTTGTACAGGTGTGAATGTACAGTAGGCTGTATCTTGATGACATCATATTGGATGTTGCTGGTGTTAGGAATGGAGTAAGGGAATAATCAACTAACACAACCATGTCTCTGAAGCAAGACCAATATGCATGAGTTGGTCTCCAAGAAAAGCACACAAAGAAATGACCTAAATACAGTGGACCAATTTTGCTTTTATATCAGGTATTAGCTTAATATAATAAAAATTACAGAAATTATATAATACTCTTGAGACAAAAGGATCATAAAAATGTATATTACCATGAAGGAATCATTAGGTAATTATTCTAGAAAAGTGAAGTTCACAAGAGAGAAGAGGAGCTATTGAAAAAGAGAAAATAATAATAATCTGTAGTTAAAATTTAGTTTCAAGGGGACTAAAATTGAAAATTTGATACTTGGCGCAAGAAATTAAAAATAACTGTCAATATTAGCTATTTCTTTTCTTTCAACAGAACAAGACAAAACAAGATCATGACTTTTTGTAGATAGGAATAGTTATTATAGATTTAATGGAGATGAACCCAAGAAATAACTTTATTAAATTCTATAAATCTTAACTGGCAATAGATTTGATGTCAGCCTTAGAATCAGCAATATAAACAACCCATTCCCGAGAAAACACCAGAATAAAAGGTGCCAGGGTTATTAGATAGCCTTGGTGATGTTTCTACTTACAAAAGAGTCTATTTCTTTTTTATTGGCCTGAAAAGGATATGAAAAGAAGGGCTTAATAAAAATTAGAGTGAAAACTACACACTGGAGGGACCATTAGGGGCAATGTCTAGCAGAGCACTGTCCAGCTAGGATCACTTTGCATTAATCTAGACATTAGGCATGATGATGAGGAGTTTGAAGGGAAAGAAAATGAATCTCAGAGATACTGAGGAAAGGGAAAATTTATGGGACTTACACTCAGCCAAAGATGACTGATCACATGCCAACCTTGCGATATGCTGAGGATCTGTGCACAGTTCTTCCATTAGTGGTTTTGGGATTTTCAAGATGCCTTGCTAGGTCATCAGCAAGCCCCTCTCATCGGCCATGTTCTCTTGAGTCTTCACCTTCTTGTTTTATGCTATGGCTCCCATGGCCCTATCCCCATTGCCTTTAACTCATCTTTCCCTTTCTGATTTCCATCCATCTCTCCACATGGTGGCGTCACCTGGAACCATGATCCATTGTAAACCTTCTTTAGCACCTTCTTGGAGTGTTCTACCTTTACTCTCTTTGAGACACTGTAATTTCTGTGGACTTCTCTCCCATTCTACATACCCAAGAAATTGGGAGGAAAAGAAACATTTTTCTAGACTTCTCTTACAACTTGCATGCTCTTTCTTCTTGTATAAAAACCCATTCTCTTTTGAAGCACATGGCACCTGTTGTATTATTTACCAACTTTTATATTGTCTGCCTTCTACCAACTTAGTGAGATTCACTTTTACTAGGGACTCCGAAACAAAGGAAGTTGGTTCAAAATCTTATACTTTGTTTCATCATTACCCTGGTAAATTTTAATGTCACTATGGATGACTCAGAGAGCATCCAATGTCATGCTTCCTCATCTTCAAGGAACTTCTCTCCATTCCATTTCTGTCACCACTCTGTCCCACTGGCTACCCCCAGCGTTTTATTACCATAGAGAACTCTCCAATGTCTGAAGAACTATTCATTTATATCTACTTGTGGCTACTAGTTTCTACTTTCCAGGTCATCCACTCTCTTCTTCCTTCCTCACCTATTATCATTCTACCTCAGGGAAATGTCCAGTTCATTGACACCTCCCCATTTTTAATAATTTTTTGAATCATGTGAACCATGATCTTATACAATCTCCACTGCACTGCTTCTTCTACTTCTTCATTGCCCAACTTTTATAAAACTTCAATTGTGGATGAATCTAAGCATTAATAAAAGAGAAAAATAATGCATTTGGTGAATTGGAACCACTATAAATTCATGATTCTCAACCTCTATCTTGTTTGATAATCTTTCCATGTGTCCAGAAATTGTCTATGTTGCTCATTCCCTTTATTCTTAAAATTTCCTCATGAAACCCATTCTTCTCACACTCAGCAGTTTGCATTACTTTCTATTTTCTTGAGAAAACATGTGCAATATAGTAGAAATGCCTTCAATTATTACCATTTTATCTGCATTTTTCCATATCCCTATTAGTCTCTGTCCCCCACCTCCCCATTTCAATGGAAGAGATATCCCCTGCCCCACCTATTGCTCTCTGTTCTCTAAATCCCATCTCCTTTTTCATCTTAATCTTCAATTTATTTACTCCCTTGCTTTCTGGCACATCAACAATTAAGTCTCTCTCAATACAAATAACAATCCTCTGCCAGTCTTGAAGCCACTCTCTAAAGACTGTACTTTCTAAAACTTAACCAACTTTCTATTGGTTGTTAAAGAAAAGAGAATGGGGTCAGAAACAATGAAAAGGAGACTCCAAGCAAAGTGTTGATAACCTGACTGTAAAGACACTAAATTGAAAACTGTTTTTTTTTTTTTTAACATACTTGATAGCAGGCCTTTAAAAACCTGAGTGAATTTAAGTTCTGACCAGAATATTGGAAAGAGAAAAAGGAGACAATGGAAGGCAACAGTAGTAGGTACAGTTTCTTTCTGACCCCAAAATGGAAATATAGAATTCATTTTGTTATAGTCAGATAATTGGGTAAAGGAAGATGGAGACAACAGGTAAAAAAGTGGAACTACTTTTGTGGTAAACCCCACATCATCAAAATACCTAATTTAATTGCAGTTTCAACCCCTCCCAAAAATGTAATCTTAACCAGTCTGGAATTTTCTGATCAACATTAACAAGGTAATCACTTTCCTATTCCCAATGAGGGTGGCCTTGCCTGAAATAATCTACTTTCTTATTTATCTTGCCCTTACCTGCCTAGAGAAGTCTTGCATTTTGCACAGTTCTTTGTAACTCTCTTTTACTTGCTAGATGGGACCCTGCCTGAGTCATGAATCATTTAATAAAAACAATTAGATCTTCAAATTTACTCAGAATTTTTTTTTGTTTTAATTAGAACCAGTAACATCATGCTAGAGTCAAATGAAAGAAAAACTAAAGATGCCTGCATTAGGGTGGAAAGAGGAGGTCCTCTGTTGGGAGACCTAAAGACAAAGCTATACTTTGAAAGGATGTGACAAAAGGATGTAAAGGAGGAGAAAACTGAGCAGACTCAATGAATAGGTAAATTGTTGTCATTATTACAATGCTGTACAATGCTATTATACTTTTAATGCATCAAAATCTTTCCACATCTGAGATTTCATTTTTATCCTCAAGGTAACCCTAGAAGGAAGATATTGCAGGTGATTGTAAATAAGGGAGAAGTAGATGAAGCAAAAGCAAAAAATATATATGCAAAAAAGAAGGATGGTTCATATAGGTAGAAGGTGAGGAGAAGAGGCAAAAATTAAAGAACAATTAAAAGATTAATCCAAGAAAGCAAAAAGGGAAGTCATAAGGGTGGATGACAGTAGATTTCATATTAAAACATAGTTCAAGAAATGTGGATGGAATTTCTTCTTTTTCTTCCTCCTCCTCCTTCAAAATCATGATGGGAGAAAAAATCTTGGAGGATGCTAAGAGGCACAAAGGTGCCAAAAAGCATAGACTCCTAATTAAGGGTTAATGGTGAGCTTCAGGGAGTGGTGGTGGGATGAAGATGAGGGAACACATTTTTCATCTGGCTTAGAGTTTTAAAACACTACCCAATAATAATTACCAACATGATAAAACAAAGGGAGGGAAATGAGGGAGTTAAGAGAACAAATCACACACTCAGAGATGGGAAAGAATGTCAAGCTTGTAAGAGTCAAAATGGAGAAAAACAGTGACCTTTCTGAGAAGCAGATCCTACCCAAGCACAGAGGCAGTCAGTATATTTAGTAAACCCAGCTACTGGAAATAAGAGAGAGTGTCACGTAGATTACAAACTTGAGAATAGAAGCCTAGAAGGCAAACTGACTATATTCAAGATGAGATAACATAAATGTCATGAATATATTCTAAATGGGTGAATTAGAAAATAAATCAAACTATCAAGAAGGCAAGGAGGGAGGAAGAGAAAGAGAAAGAGGCACAGGTACCTAAGCAATCTCTAGTTGATGGACAGCTACTTTGCCATTGGCAAGGAAATATGTGTTAAGATTAAGTCAAGGGCAGGGCTAGATAATGTATTCAGAGACAAAAAACCAATATGGATATGGAAAGAGTTAGCTTGCCTGAAATAACAGAAAGCTTCAAATGACATGATGGAATCGTTAGAGGTCAGTAGGCACAGAATAGTAGGAAATTGCTCATAAACAGGGTATATAAAAGCTTCCAAAAAGGGAAAATATGGAATAAAAAATGAGGAAACCAGATTTGTCAATATGAAAGGAGTAGAACCTTCAGGGGACAGGAGGAACAAAGAACTTTATAAAACAATGAAAGTCAGGAGTAATTTAGCTATCACAACAGTTTGTGTGTGTATGTGTATGTGTGTTCTGCAGTTTATTGAGGTAATTGGCTAGGAATCCCTGGGTATCTTATTACAATGGTTCTTATGATTTTTATTCATTTATTTATTAATTCATTGAAAAAATATTTACTGAGCACTTTCTCTGTTCTAGTTATGATTTTAAACAGCATGATTCTCAATAGTCAAAGATGAAATGAGCCCAGATGTCCATCAATTGGTGAATGGATAAATGAAATGCAGTTTCTCTATGCAATGGAGTATCACCCAGCCATAAAGAGGACTAGAGATTTGATACATGCTACCATACTGATGTTAAGTGAAAAAAGCCAGTTACAGAAGACCACAAAGTTGTAGGATTCCTATTTATAAGAAATGTCCACAGTAGGCAAATTTTTAGAGATGGAAAGTAAATTATGGCAACTCGAGTTGTGGGGAGGGGGGTGGTAGAATAGAATGGGCATGATTCTTTTTGGGATGATGGTTGCACAGCCTTGTGAAAATATTAAACAAATTTTCAAGGACATGCTTTAAATGGGTGAATTTATGGCATATAAACTACATTTCAGTAATATTTTTGATGTTTTGGGAAAAAAGGAGAATGGATGGATAGTAATGGGAAATAATTTTCATTTTCCATGTAAGAGAATAAATAAATATTACAATGAATTAAATTCGGATATAGTGATATAAGATGATTAGTAAGAAATAGAAAATTATCAGGAGGACTAAACCAAGAAAAAATATGGTGTCTGGGAAGGGGGAGTGGGGAACTACCTCTTTTCATTTCAATTTATTATTGGTATTTAAAACATACACACAGCTATTTATTGAAAATTTTAGGAGATTATAATATAAATATGTATTAAGTTAGTGAATAAGATAATTCTTTCCCTTATACAGATCTCATCTATTCTTTAGGGTCAAATTATAGTTTTTATCTCAAGTAACCTCAACCACCAGGCATGTTCTATATATTCCTTTCTTTTTCACAGTGAACAGGTTGCTCATGGACTTGTGTTACATTTTCTGGACTTCAATTGATAAAGACCTAGCTCTATACAAATCTGTAAGGTTTTTATTTAATTTTGCAAGATGGTGAAGTTCTGCTAGCTTTATAGTTTTGATTAGTTATTCATTTGTTCACTGCTTCACTTAGCCTATTTACTGAATGTCATCACACAAAAGGCATTATGCTAGGAACTAGGGGTACTGTGGTAAAGAAGACACCTTATTCCTAAGGAGCTCTTGCTCTCATGAGAAGATATAATAGTCACTAGACAATTAAAATATGATAGACAAAAAGAGGACACTCTAAGAGCCCATGGGAGCTCCTTGGAAGGCAAATAAATAGGGCTTTCTGGAGGTAGTGACATTGAATTGTTATCTGAAGAATGAGTACAGGTGAAGGGAAAACAGCATGTGTAGGAGAATGGAATGCCCACAGTGTACAGTGCAAAAAAGGTGAGTAAGGAAACATAGGCAGAATAACAAATCCCCAGAGATGTCCACATCCTAATCTCCAGAACCTGTGTGTGTGTTATTTTACATGGCAAAAAGGGACTCTGCTGACGCAACTAAGAAACTTGAGATGGGGAGGTTATCCTAGATTATCTGAACGGGCCTGATAAAATCCCAGGGGTCTTTATAAGAGAGAGGCAGTAAGATCCATTTATGACTTCTGACCTCCAGAACTGTTAAATGATGAATTTGTGTTAAGCCTCTAGGTTTGTGGTCATTGGTTACAGCAGCAATGGGAAAATGATAATGAAAAGTAGGTTGGAGAAACAGGAGGGAGGGCCAAGTTCCCTGTGAGTCAAGTTAGGAACTTTGGACTTAATTTTGAGGGCAATAGGAGCCTTTGACAGGATCACACTTTTATTTCAGAAGGGAAGATAGCTACAATAAGGACGATGGGTGGGTGGGAGTGGTGTCAGGATGAGATCACCTCACGACGCTGCTGCTGTGGATTCTGTCTCATCTAGCCCAGAACTGTCCTTTCCTTGGCAGTGACCTCTGGTTTTGGTTCAGTGGTGACACTGGTTTCTATGTGGTTAGCCTTAAATATCAGGTATTGTGTGAGACTTGAATCAGATGAAGAGAAACAGACAGATGCAAAGAATGAAATGACATGAGGCTCATGAGGCTTAGCTGAAAGATAAAATCTTCTCACCTTGATTTTCCACATCCTTCAGTGGGTCCACCCCTGGAGACAGTATGAAAAACATGGGAGTGGCTGGTCCTGATTCTTCAAATGAAGTTGCAAAATCTAGTGCTCTTCCCACCACATATTTGCTTCCTAGTTTCTCCTCAACAAAATCTCTGCCAGAAGATAAAGTACATGTATCATGTCATATATCAGTCACAAAATAACAACATTTGAGAATAGAGGCCTACAGAAATGGAAAGAGGTGCTCAAATTCACAGGCTTGGTAATTACAGAGCTAGAACCAGCTCCAAGTTCACCACTTATCAAGCCTGTGCTGCTAGCTGCCCGCCTGCTCACTCAGAACAGGGCTCCTTCCAAATCCCCACCCATCCATATCAATGCTGACTCCTCTGAAAGTCTGGGTGTCCTGTCACATTGCCACCATCCACCAGAAGACTTCCAGAACCAGTGATTTCTCTAAGGTAGCTAAGTCCTCCATACTTCATGTCCCTGGGATCCTCCCTCCTTACCCACGATTTAAGATCTTCCAGTCTTTTAGATAGATCTTCAAATTCTATCATTCTTTGTGTTTCTTTCATGTTACTCCACTTACCAATGTTCCTTTCCAGAGTGACCAAAGTATTCATTTTTTTTGCTCAACAAAACCTTGTACTACAGCCACTTAATATCTGGCTCAACACTGGGTCTTAATATCTCCTCTAAGAACACTATTTGTCCTGTAGTCTTCTTGATTGGCCTTATTCTCTTAGCTGTGATCTCTCCCGGAATTGGAAAGTGGTATCACAGTCCTGCTCACCTATGACTACTATTTGCAAACAATTACTTCTCTACTGGTGTGGCTTTATTAGGGAAATACCCCCTGGCTGTTCACCACTGTTCCTACACATCAATGACATCTTTGGTCACTCATTCACTGAGCCCTTGGACACACGACTCATGGACTTCCTCGCCACAAGCCTGGGTGACATCAACATCAATGTGTATAATCCTGCAGATTATTAACACTTCATTTCTTCCCCATTCCTGCCACCTCCAAGACCACACCTTCATCCTTGTCATTACTTAGGAAATTTTTCTATATCTGAAAACATAAATGGAAACATCCCATTCTCTGACTTCTATCCTTACTATTTGTTTAGCATTTTCTTATATAACCTCTTCTTTACCTATATTAGTTAAACTACAAAAGCAGGTTTTTAGTATCTTATCCTCCCTAGTGTTTATCATTCCCTTATTATTTTCACTTCTTTCCTATCCAGTGGAGACTCCATGGTCTACACCTTACTTAAAACACAAACACACACACACACACACACACACACACACATCTTGAGCTACAATTGACGTACCATAAAAGTTACCCACTTTAAGTAACCCTTTCGACTTCTATAATCCTTCACCATAATCCAGTTTTACTATTTCATCCTGCCAAAAAGATTCCTTACACCTACTTAGATAATTCCTATTCCCATCATCTAGTCTGAGGTAACAAGTGATCTGCTTTCTGTCTCCACAGATTGCAAGACCCATGACTCTAGTAATTTCTTTACCAATATTCTTATGGCACTTGCTGGACACTTATTCTAACACACCAACCTGAAATGACCCACACTTTAACCAACTGAACTCTGAATTGACACCTGGGCTGCTCCATACTGCTGCAGGGAATCATGCAGGAAGGTCGTGTCAGGATGAACACAGGAACTTAACTAGTGACTTGGAATTCTTTCTCTGGTCAGCCTTTTCTCCTCCTTTTCTCACGATCCTATTTCAAGCTTCCCTACTCTCTTCAAATCTTCAACCCTACCACCTCCCTTGTCACACAAAATTTCTGCCATCCTTCCATCACCTGATCCACAGACACACTCTTCTTGTGATGGAGATGCTCTTCCTGTGACAATGACAATGGATGATCCTTCGATCTGTTCTTGGGTCCCACCATCTTCCACCACATTATAAGAGATCAGCATTCTTTTCAATGGAGGAACACCTCTAACCAAACTATCCACTCAAGATCTGAATAAAATACTGGCAAACACAGAGCAACAGGATTCATGGGATTATGGATGTTGGAACAAAAGCTTCAGTTACTATAAACACATGGTTTTCGAGCTCAGTTCTACTTGTCTGGCCATGCTGATTCTGCCCCATGCCTGTCTTGGGCCTCCCTGCAGCCCGCATCCCTACCGCATGGCATAGGTCATCCGGTCAGGCCGCATGGCTCTCATTATGCACAGGCGCTGCAGGGCTGTCTTGTTCTTCCACTCCTGTGGGAACTTCTCCTTTTCAGGACATTCTGATTCCACAAACTTTTTCCAGCTCTTAGCAGATCCTTCAATGTCCCGATCCAGATTATAGAATTCTTCCATTGATGAAAGTGCCTGAGAAATTTCAGAGAATCTTGCTTTGAAACACAGTTTCTCAAGAAACCTATAATTTGCACCAAGTTGGTGGTTGAGGGATGAGATGGTGCTATAGACATTATTCTGTCTCAGGTACATTCTTGTCTGGAGCCTTGGATCTTTCCCCAGGAACCATAAGGAAGAGGATGGATTTTGATCAGCCCAACTTCAACAAACTACCTCAATAAAAGACAAAATTTAACAAAACAAAGTGTGTGGGTTATCAGCAGCAGCAGAGATGGAGCAGCAACGGCTTGCAGGGTATTACATCTAGAGAGGGAATGCCAGGCTTTTTCTGATCATGGAGCCTACACACTTTCAGTCCCGGACTCCTCTCTTTCATGCCCTCTTTCAACAACTCCTGTCAATTCCTCTCTCAAAATGTCTCTAAAATCATTGACTTTTTGTTAATGGCAACTCTAAAATTTCTGAGTTGCCTGCTACCATAAGAATTAAGTCCAAATGCTTAAGTTGGGAATCAGATCTTCATCTTGCATTTCTTTCCAATTTGTCCATTTACCCAGGTATTGACTTCCTTCCCGCCCCATCTGTCCCCAGCCTTGGAAGTATACCAGACTAATTCCTAAGTTCTTGTTTACCTGGCTTTCACTATGTGAAAGGTACTATTCTCTTCTCTACCAAACTCTACTTGCTTTTCTCACTGGCCATGATTATTAGTTGCTAAGGGTTTAGAAGTTGTTAAAATGTAGTTCAAACGCAGCCTTCTTTAGGTACGTTGTTTCTAACCTAGCAAAGCCCTCTCACACTTCTTTAGTGGATCACTTATAGCTACTCATCGATTTGATATCTTTGACAAATTGTCTGACTCAATTTTTTAGATATTTGACCACTGATAGTTTCTTTCCTTCCCTCTTCCTCTTCTGTTCCACATATGGGCAAGTGGATCAGTAAGTCAAGGCATTTCCCTATTTGGTGCTGGAGGGAAGTTGTACAGGTACATTTCTGCCCAAGCATAGGAACCCTCACCCCACCCGCACACCCTAACCCTAACTCTCTCAAGTTATTTCTAGATTGTTCAGAAGTTCCCTGGATCTTCCCAGAAAATCTCATTACGTGAGTCATAAACTTTCCCAAACCTGCTTGGTTTGTGTGTGGCATCTCTAGTCTCATATTGAAATAAAATTTGGGTGAGAATCAATTCTGTTTCTTCAGAGTACCTACATAAACCACACACAGTTATCTTCACATTATTACTCAGCTTTGCTTATGTGTCTGGTCTCTCCAATGTGATGGATGGCTAGACTGTGTCCCAAGGACCTACCACAGAGCCATGAATTTTAACCAGTGCATTCTGGTTATTTTAATGAATGAATTAATTAGACATTATTGAATATCTACAACTTGGGAATGTAAAAGTGAAAAAAATAGACACATGCCTTTCAGGAACGTAACCCTCTTAAGTTAAGGAGACTAGGAGATGAGGGGGGACCTTAGTAGGTATATAGGATTCTATTGGGCAGAGACAGAGGTGGAGAGAGGGAAGGGCATTTTATGGGGATAAATCAATAAGAGCCAAAATCTGCAGTGGGGAGAGTGTGGAACATCATCAGAAGCAGCATAACTGGAATAGAGAAGTCTTATAGTTGATACAGGGAATAAAGCTAGAGGACACTTATTTACACATAACCTGGACTTGCTGAGTCTCCTGTGTGCATGAACATGTGACCTGAATTTATATGCCCTTTTCCACAGATTCTGTGATTTCCCACTTTCACCCTGACCACATAGAGCACCTTCATTCATGCTGAGAAGTGCCGAGGAGTGGTGTGTAGAAAGGTAGAGGAGGGACTAGGAAATGAGAGAGGAGAGTTCTGGTCCCATTGGAGCCTCTTATGATTTGGAGCCTGTATTGAAACCTTTATGGGCTTTGATTTTTCTCTTTGGAAAATGAGGCCAAGTAATGGTTGTCTGCATAGCTCACACTCTAATGTAGATAGGAGTGCTTTGAAGACTATAAAGGCCTCCCTTGTGCTATCTCAGGGCCCCTGTAGTTATTGAGATGCAATTGCTCATTTACTGGTCTGTTACTCCCATAAGATTGTGAGTTCCCTGTGGGCAAGAACTTCTCAGGCTTTTCGTCTGTTTCCTTTAGGCCTTATAGGCTGCCTGGCACTCAGGAAGTGCTCAATTAATAAAGTTTGACATCTGGGCAGCCAGCAGGAGGGCTCTTGACAGGCTGCAGCTGCTGTAATTATTTCTCTCTGTGCCGAGGAGGAGCTAACTTTCATCTTCTTCCAGGCAGCCACTTCACCCCCTCTTCCCAGCTTGCATTGTCACTAACCCTTCTGCAGTCCCATTACCCCCTCTGGTGTCACCACAAAACTGAGCAAATTACATTGTGATCAGTGCTCCCAAATGCCATGACTGGGTCTGAAACACACTTCCTTGAAGCTCTGGATTGAACACAATTGCAACATTTAATATTCCAAATGAGGGGAAGGGATTTTTAGCCTTCTAATAAGCTAAATGGAAATGACTAATTAACCTAATTACATTGGACTGTGTAGCAAAATACAACTGCGCTAAATTGGCATCCAGGATGGTAGTGAGGGGCCTTTTCAAAGGCTAACAAAAGCGTGCATCAAAGATGAGGTTTTCTAATGAAGAACAGAACATGCATTACCTAAAAGTTCAGCATTTGATGAGACTTAAAAAATCCTTACTGGGGATAATAATGAGAGCAGTATTTTATCACAAAGATTTCACTCATTACCTGCTTACTAGTTCTTCTGGGGAAACAAAGCAATCAACCTTCCTTATCAGATAGAATGCTAAAAAAATTATTTTTATCATGTTCCTATTCAATTATACTTGTTTTGTTTTTTTTTAGATTAAAAATCCACTGAACCCTCAAAAAGAGCATTTGTCAAAGGCTCAGTGATGTGCTCCACACATTGTAGTGTGTTTCACCTGCTTACATCCTGCACTGGGCTTGAGTTTGACAGAGATGGGTCTTTGCTGATCCACATAACAAGCTCATAGAGATAAAGCCTCTGAACAGTCAGATGAGTTTAGGCAACAAAACAAAACAGCAAAGTGAAGCAAAGCAAAGCAAAGCAAGGCATCTAGCTTGTAAAAAGAGGAATGAAACTGAAATGCACAGTAGCTTTTGAATTGAGCTATGTAAAACGAAAGCAGTAAAGAGCGCTTTTGAATCATTTATTCAGTATGATTTTCGTAGTGTAGTATAGAGAAAGGCAAATGGATATGACCCAGGTGGGCAACACACAATTCCTTAAAGTTTTTCCTTTTATGGACAAATTTTATGAGGCACAACCTATGTCAACCACAGGATATATACACCTAAGAGTGGGGTAATAAATAATCATAATTTGATGGGGATTGTGCCCTACAAAATAAATATTGAAGAGCTAACTTTCCAGACTCGTGAATGTGATCTTGGATTTGTAGAGGGTATTCATAATCTAGGTAAGATGAGGTCACTAGGGTGGGCACTAATTTTCTATTTTGTGAGAAGAGAAGAAACTCAAAGTCACACAGAGGGAAACTGGTCATGTGAAGGAGACAGCTGCAGAGATTGGAGTGATGCTGTCACAAACCAAAGAATACCCAGGTCTGTTAGTAACTGGAAGACAAGGGAGGATCCTCCTCCAGGAGTTCAGTAATAAAAAATTAGTAAAAAACATAGGGATTGAGAGTCAATCATATTACTTTAGATTCATACTTATTTGTGCTATGTATATAAAATGCAACAAACATGAAAAATCATAGGATTCATTTTATGTAGATGCTATTTCTCACACAGCACCAAAATCAGTGGTGGGTGCTCATTCACCCACATGGAGGCAGCTGCCGGGAGAGAGCATGCCTCCACTTTCTGGCCCTGGGATCCACTCAGTCACCATTGACTGTTGGGCGTCATGTCAGGCCCTGTGAATGCAGGCCTGGTCCCTACTGACAGTGACTTAGAGTCGAGAACTTTTCAACATTCATTGCATCCCAACAAAACTAAGCTAAACAACACAGAAAGAAAACGGAATTTACCATCAGACAGACTGGAATTTGTGCCCTGAATTTGCTACTTTATAAGGTGTGTTATTTCAGTTTCCTTATGTTAAATGAAAAGAAATAATACTTATCAAGGAGCCTCCCCCATGGCTCAGCAGGTTGAGCACAGCACTGTGAAGCTGTACGCAGCCTCTGCAGTGTGGGTTCGATTCCTGGCCTGCCAGGGAGATACCCACATGGCGTGGCAGACCTCTCCTGTCTTGCCTGCTGCTCCCCTCAGCAGTGTTTCCAGTCGTCTGCCTGTTCTGCTTCCTGCTCTGTCTCTGGTGAAATTCTCTTGCCCTCCTGCGCCTCTGGCCTGTACCCCAGTTCTTGTATAAATAAATAAATCTTAAAAAAATTCTTTAAAAAATAATAATTATGAATATGAAAATGAAAGAAGGTAGTGTAGTTTTAAGATACTATTTATTTTTTAAAATTAATTTTTAACTGAGGTAATACTTGGGGTACTCCACCAGCTATTATCACCATAGTGCACTCACCACTAACACTCATATTCCACCACCACTGACCACTCTTTGTTCTTCTCTCTTTGTTCTTACCCATCTTCTACCCACTTCCTACCTGGTGCTTCTGTTCTGTAGTCAGCTATTTATTAACCACCAAGAATTCCAGGTCAGAATGCATCTCTGACTTTGAGTCTGAGTTAGGATTCACATGGGATGCCTGAGCAGAGTCCAGGCATCTGTTTGTTGCATAAAAGCGCTGAGGCAGTTTTGCCGTAGCAACCCCAGGGTCACAGAGAAGGCCAATTCCAGCTCCAGCATGGACAGGTAAAAAGCAGCTCAGCTGAGACAGAGAAACATTTAGCATCTTACTGTATCCTTTACACCTGCTCCTTCTCCATCCAGTCTTCCCAGCAGGTCCAAGGAAGGTGAGCTCTGGTGTGGGGGTGCAAGCAAAGGGATGCACCTACACTTAACACTGCTCCATGCTTTAAGCCCACTAGAGCGCCCCACTGACTTCATGGAGACAAATGTCAGGGAAAAAACCCCAAGAAATGAGAACTTGATTTTTTTTCTAGGGCCTTTTTCTACTGACCTTGATGCCACCCCAAGCCTGATGGGAGAGGAACTCCACTGGACTGCTGACACCTGTCTGGAGGGGAGATCGAAGCAGGAAATCCAACTCTGTCATGCCAACTTCCTGGTTCATGAGCAGGATCTGCAATGTGGAAGAATGACACTGTTTCTTTAGCTGGTGTAATCACTGGGTCCTGGAGATCTTAGGGATTGTCACTCAATGTGATTACTGCTGCTTCCAATACTAGAGCTTGCCCATCAATTTTGGAATAGAGGGTCAAGTGGAAGAAAGTATATATCATTGCAGATAAATTCTGTGTGCATCTCTTACCCCAAATATCAGTGCACCCAGTGAATGAGTATTTATCCTGGTTTACAAGCATTTTATGCATCAATCATAAGTGCCACGGAATACATTCCTGCAAACTAACTAAGGAGATGACACATACAAATGACAGGATTTGAGGAGAGTGTCAAAGTAACATATGAATATATGCAAAATAAAAATGCATATATGAATCAATAATGCTAAAGAGGTTCCAGAATAGGGGGTGCCCCGCAAGCTGGAGTAGAGAGATTGCTTTGATTGAACTGTCAGTAAGTGGTTTCGAATTAGACTTTGGCAGAGCTAAGAAATAGGAAGATTTAGACAGGAAGGGGAGGCTTTCCAGGGAGGGGGAAGTGTAGAGGTTTGAAAGGAGAATTACTGAGGTATGTGCAGGGGAGAGTGCAGAATTTGGCTTGACTAGGGCTAATGGTTCACACTGTGAGGTGCTTGGGAAATTCTTCTCCCCCTTCAAATGGTATTCTCTGCTGAGATTACAGACAGGAATGCTCACAAGAAAAAAATTTTTGAGGAAATAACAGAGTCAAACACAGATGTCATCACTGGATAGCTCACTTCTACCATTGGGTGAGGCCTTCAAGATAATCCAGTTTGTACTCCCAATTTATATATGGAGGGAAATCCCAATTACTAAAGGATTAAAAAAATAAATGTGAGGAAATTTAGTTTCATTTTTTTTTGTTGTTTTGTTTTAATGCTGAAACTAAGTGGAAGACCAGGGTTTTTTTTTACTAATATTGAAAATCCCTGATGGGAAGCTCCTGAGTCCCTGAGAAGCAGAGTTGTTAAAGAATATTTAGAAAACCTAAATAAGGAACCAGGAGAAAGGCTAATTATAATAAAGTAAAAATCAAAATCAACAAGCAACTATAAGCCAGAGACACACTGAGGGGGAGGGTATGAGGGATTATGGTCAAAATAAGGGGGGTGGGAATTGTATGGGACTACAACCAAGATGAAAAAGCATACATTGTGCAAAAATGAAAAATGATGTAAAAAATATATAAAATAAAAAAAAGAATATTTTAAGGCCCGGGCTGCTATGGCTACAGATATTATTCTAGTGGAAGTTTGGCATGATAAACTTGAAATCCTAAAGGTAAATAAATAATGAGGGAACTCTGACAATGTTCTTAGAGCATGTCAAGAAGAATATAGTTATTGGTATGGTCATTCAGTTTTATCTTCAGTGCCAGTTTGGATGGATTTGTAATGGCTGCTGGATGATTATGTTGAGGAGAATCTTCATCAGGGTCAGCAAGAAAAGAGTAATGAATGATTAAGCATGCCTGCCATGAATGGGACAGTGGGGGGCAGTGTGGTGTGCCATATTGGATTTTGTTGCCTGATGTCTCTGCCTAGGGTGCTGTAGTTTGCATTCTATGGGAAGAGATGTTAAAAGAAGTATCTTTATACCTGCTGTTGGAGCACTAGAAAATAAAATGTTTTCTGGAAACTTCTTCAATCCACTTTTACCTGGAAAGTAAGCTGGGCAAGGTAGGTCAGTTTATCACACTCGAAGAGCCCGCGGGTGGTGTACTGGTACACAGAGAAGGTAATGCTGTCTATTAGGTTGGTCACCCGCTCCTTGAGGTTCTCATCAGGAGTAGCCTTTTCCACAGCTTTCTGGAAGACAATACTGAAGGCCTGGGGGTGCAGAAGGTAGAAAAATGGTAATTTGAAGTTCTCCTTGTATATAACTAGTGGTCTTACTTGTGAAGGTTATTATAATTTGCCAGAAATGTTTAATCAGCAGGTCCTGCCAAGAAGGACAGTGGTTACAAGAAAACATGCTATTAGCTCTTTTCTTAGTTTGTGCATATGAATTGTCTTGTCTCAAAGCAGGCAAAGCTATAGAGCATACAGAGATTTAAACAGAGAAATTAATGTTTGGTGACTAAAATAATTAATTTAAAATCCAACAAGATTTTTGCTGAAGAGCTATCTGCTTTAAAAAGATAACATAGTTGAAAATAACTGGCTGGGATTAATGATTCTATACACTAGATTATAAAATTTTTGATGGTCGAATCACTGTCTTGTACACTTCTGTTTCTAAAAAGAGATCTCTGTACATAATAGGAACTTAGGATATTTTTCATTAATTGTATTTTCTTTTGGTAATGGTCAGAAGTTCCTGTTTCTTTGTTTTCTTTTGTTTTCATTGTAGTCGTTTGATAAATCCTCTTATGTGTTCTTTATTTCAAGGACCCTTCCTGCGATGGTCAGAGCATAGCCTACTTTGGTTACATCTTGTGCATTGTGTACATTTGTGGAATAATATGAAATAAAAATCAAATGATCCAAATTACCATTGTTTTAAACTTAGACATTGACTATAAAAGAAATATTAGTAAAGCACATTTTGAATGCCATGTAAATAGAACTAATCACTCAAGAAAATGAAACTCAGACTGTAATGGAACCTATTCAATTCTTAGCTATGCAGATTTCTAGTCTTTACTTTCCTTCTGTAATTTCACGAAGAAAAAAATCTTAGGTTTTTATAATACTAAATATTTGAGTTGCAATGAAAACCACGTAAGATACGAATCTAACATTTCTCATTTGCAAAACGGGGAAAAAAGTGGATTCCTCTCTCTATTTCATAGTTCCATGGTGTTTCTTGTTATCGAAATCCTTGCAGTCTTCCTTTTTCATTCACTTTTGCTGATTCTAGAAAAATCTGTTGACTGCCTTCTACCCAATCCATTGTGATGTTTGCCCTCACTTGGTAGGATTTAGATTGGAATAATAGCTCATTAGAGGCTAATAATGCCTCCCAGCACCACATGGAACAATTTGGAAAGCTTCCACTTGCAGAACTGATCTTCAGAGACTGGGTATAGTTTTCCCCAGGTGATTACTATGGCTTTTCTCTAAAACTCTCAAAATGATGATGATCAGGTAAGAATTTCTAGTTACCAAGTTTAAACAAAGTGATTCACAATTCAGGAAAAGATCTAAAGAGATTAAAATACCTAGCATTTTCCTTACACTAAACTAATTTTGACTCTTTTTTTCTTTCCATCTGAAAAGGACCTTCTTCTTTCTTGTACTTCCAAAGTCTGAACAACTTTAGTGCTAATCTCGGGTGTGTTTTCCTCCAGAAGGTCTCTTCTGCTAACAGTTGCTAGCTCTAACTACCAGGTCACTTTTTCAGGGCCCTTTTCCATTGCTTTGTGTCTTATATAGTTTTTAATCTTTTCAAATGATACCAGATTTGAGTGGCTTGAGCATGGGGGCCATGGCTTACTGTCTTTCCAAGAATCCAGTCCAGATCTTCACATATAACATAAAGGATGTGCCAGACCCGGGGTCTCAAACTCAAAAACCTTCAGGGGTTAGTTGTGTGAGGCCAAATAGAGAGCAGGGGTGGGGTGGGCTGTGGAACTCAGAAGGCGAATGCCCTTTGGGAGAGCAGTCATCCCTTTGCTTCAGCAAATTTGTCTGTGTGAAACATGAGTTTAGTGCTGCCAAATCTTCCAAAATTTCATGAAAATTGAAAAGGGAATTTGTGAGAAATCTTCCTATTTTTAAACCTTTGTAACCAAAGAAAGTACCTGAAAAGTCCTTTGAAGACAAAACAGGTCTTCAGGCCCTGGGGTCTCCAGTGCAAGTCCAGTACCTTATGTTCTATCTACCTAATCTCACTGAGAAATGTTATTTCGCCTGCCATGGCTTCAGTCTGCAGGGACCCCTAGAGATGTGTCTTTTCAGTGGGGACACACTTCTAACATGTAAGCATGCCCATTAACCCTCTCTGAGCCTCTGGAAAATAACTTATAACCACTTAAGTTCCATCTTAATGATGTTAGGAACTCCCAAATCCATTCAAAACCTGGCTCTTGAAGAGTTTTTGCTTGTATAAAAGCAAATACATACATTTAAATATATTCCTGCTCAAAAAACTTTGGCAAAACAGGATGTGTGGTCTGTGTTTCCATTCTCTGAAAATGCCTCTCCTTTCTTTGCCAGGAACAGGAATTACAAAATCCAAGCTCAGACAAAATCTGAGACCTTGGAAACTCCAGTGGCTGATATTTTTTTCAAATTATAGAAGGCTTCTAAGGGTACTATTGTTTTGGGATTTTTGAAACCATTTACTTCAGCTCCTTCAAACATTTAAATCTTATTTCAGTGATTAAATCAGTCAATTAATAATTGTACATGATAATTCTTAACAGCACTGGGCCCACATTTTGCCCTCCTTATAAGTAGAGTTTCCAATGACAAAACAAGCCTGTATCTGGACACAATTACTGCACAACTCACAACATATTTTTGAACACATGTTTTCATGGGATTCATATGAATCCCTTTTCTCAGGAAGAGTCACCATAGTAGAATTCAACTACTCAGAACTAGAGATGTAAACTTGCAGTTATTAGGTTTATCATTCTAACATTTAAAATGTTTTATAATTTTATAATTCTGATAATTATAATGTTATAATTATTTCATATGCTATGTTGACAGGAATATAAGGTCAAGTAGAGGATTTCTTTTAAAAACATAAAATATGATGAACACAGTTCATGTGATTTGCAGAGATTCTTAGTTGAGGGAAGGGGGTTTGGAAATGATGAAATGTCATCTCTACTTAAATGAAACCCAGGGTCCCAGTTGCTGATTTCTCAGCATCTCTATACCTTGGCTTCCATATGGCAGTTTAGCTTCATAGAATGAGGTGTGGGCACTGAGTGTGTGTGTGTGTGTGTGTGTGTGTGTGTCCTCTCTGTTTATTGGGCCAAACCAAAAAGATAATTGAGAAATGCTCCATCACCTCCTAAAACATCTTCAATTATGTTTTTCTGGTGAATACTCTAGGGGAGAAATATATACTTGCAGAGATACACTTAAAATTTATAGGTCTTTATTATTTCATGAGTAAGGTAAGTTTAGTCAGCACTTACAATTTGCTAACATCTTTGGTTTTAGAAACATTTCCACAACCATAAAGCAGTAGCTTTGGGGATATTAGGGTAATAGAAAGGTAATTTAAAGTTACTCCATTATTATTGCCTGCTTTGGTCTTTAATCCAAATGAATGACATACATGTTTGACTATACCTATTATAGTTTAAGCTCTTTGGGGGCAGAGATAATTCCAGATATTTTTTGGTATCCTTTCACACATTCACTAAGCACAGTAGCTGCCATAATATAAGTGCTTAATGAGTGAGTGAGGCAGAGACTTGCTATGGTGGCTCCTTTAGTTCCAGCCAAAGTAAGCAATGAGTCATGAAAGAGTTGATGAAAGGGATGAGGACTGCAACTCTTTTGGCTTTGATGTTACAGATCTGCTATCACAATGAAGCATGGACTGACTATCTTATACTGTTTTATTCTGAACATGCAAAAAACTGGTGTAAGTTACCTTGAGAGAAAACTGGTACATTGGGTGGATCTTGCTGAGGTCATTCATGATGAAGTAGAGCACAGAGGCTCGGGCAGCTGCTGGCCGATAATGCTCTCGGGCCTCGTTGATTTTTGCTTCTGTCACCTTGGCCTCCTGGACCTGTTAGGAAAAATAAAAGGTGGCCATCCTTCAAACCAACTAGGCTCCCTGAGAATCAGCCTGGCATCTATATATAAGCACATGTATCTGTATGTGGGGTGGGGCAGTTTGGGATGGGCACAGTGGCTAGAGAGTTGGAAAGCTACTGCAGTATTCTTTGATTGAGTCTGAGTGAGAAACAAAAATATATGCTTCTAGTCTTCCACAAAGATGAAGGTGTCAGATCTCTAAGTTGGGAAATATAGACTATACAAGCCTCTAAGTTCCATTTCTAACAAGAATGATTTCATGTAACTTGAAAATAGACCAGAATTCCCAGTAGTGGGAATTCAGTAAAAGAAGCATAATGCAGTTTTCTGTTTTCCCAATTTTTATGAAAGAGTTAATATGTAATTTCACAAAGAAGATTTCTTTTAATGGTATACTCTATTTTCATCAAATTTCTTATCAGAGGTAAAAATAAGAGACATAAGAATTAAAGAGAGGGATTCTATAAGAACACATCACCACATACAAATCTCCATATGACCTAACTTATGCTCCAACTCCCATCTAAAATTCAAATTTCATAGCATGATTTACAAAGTACTGTGCAATGGAAACACAGCCCACCATTCACATCTCATTTCCAGAATAACCTCTACCCTTCTCTACAATCTATGTTCTGCTTATACTAAAGGTAAAAAACCCCTCTCACCTAACGTGGTTGAGTGTTCCTTCTCTGCGTGTTCATGGCGCCCTGTGATGCCTCTACCACAGCTGTCATCATATTTTTATAGCTGCCTGTTTGCTTGTCTTTCTCTGTTAGAGGACCAGGCCCTCGGAGTCTAGCAAGGTCACTGTTGTACCCTCAACTTTTATCATAGAATATAGAAGATAGCAGCCTCTAAATAAGGATTCATGGATGAATGAATGAGAAGACAAAAATTAAAGAATCAGAAGAAAGGGATTCCATATAGCACTTGACACAGTGGGCACTCAGGAAATGTTCATTGACTTTAAACAAAAGAACAAAAAGAGGAGCAAAGAAGAGACTGGGAGAAAAGATCAACAAGGTGAATTCTATTCTCTCACTCTGTTCGTGCGAGTGAGGTTCTGTCCTCCCATCTTTCCTGCCCAATGCAGTGGAACTTCTACCCTAATTACTTTACAAACTCAGCATGTCCCTATCTAGAGATCTGGAGGCCACAGGGAAATAGCAGTGAAGTCTGGTGGTCCCACAGAGATCACTGAGCCCATGCAAGGCTGGACCTTCCTTCTTTCAAGCTCTCATTATAAACTTTAATTGAATGGTTATGAGCTGGTTCTCCTGTCCTGCTGCCTTTGCTGCCTTTGTTCCTATTTTTCCCTATCTAGATCAGACTTTCACATTTGGTGAAATCCCACTAATGTGATCATAAGCATATCCCCTTATGTTGATCCTGGACACAGTTACAGAAAAATGTATCCTGCTCAGACCAGCATCTTAACTACTCTCTGACCCAAAGGCAGGACTGAGAATGTGAAAGAGCCTGTGAAAATTCAGCAGCCTGTTGGGAAAGGGCAAGAATTTGGTTGCAGCAAGTCAGGTCTTCTAGTCCCCCATAAAGGGGAATAAAAGCCTTTGAAAAATGGTGAAATAAAGGAAGGAAGCTCTAGATAAAAATTGCTTTCCAGGATAATACTGGTTTTGAGAGCTGAATTCCTGGGAAGTCATTGAAACCCTTTCATTAAGATCAGACTTGGTCAAGTTTTCCAGGCTGGTGGGTTTTCACAGGGTGCAGTCATGCCTGAACCAGTTAACTTTTACAGCAGCGTGATTCCTTAGATACAGGGCAGTTCAAAAACTTATGGAGGTACTAAATTTGAGCTACCATTCCTCACACAGAACAAGAAACTGCACAGACTTCCCCACTCATCAGATGTTTTTGGAGCTAAGTTGTCAAACGCATCCCCTGGAAGGTAGGAACTTCCTAATGCAGCTGTGAGGTAGTCCTTTCAGGAATCCTGTTTATCTTGACTTTCCAGAAGAAACTCGGAAAGCTGGAAAAGTTATCCGTGACTCTTGCTTTTTTTCTCCTAAAAGTCAGACTCAGGCTAGGAAGAGGGTCTTTGGCTCCCAATTGAGGTTGCCAGAATAGTTTTACCTTTTTCTCAATTTCAGCAGCCGTCTGCTTGGTGATCTCCAGGTTCTCCACCAAAGCTGTTTCTCCCAGGAAGTTCCCAGATGCTGAAGAGAGGCGAGAGAGCAGGTTGTCTTCTAATGTTTTGAGGGTGATTTTGAATCCATTTTGCTGCTTCGTGAGGTCTGACTATTAATATGAAGTAAGAGGGAGTCCATTATAGGAACTCTTGAATAGATTTGAAAACAAAAGCTCTGGGGCCAGAGTGCCTTCCCTAAGAGACAGTGAACTGGAGGCAGCACAACACTGATTGAGACCATGGGCATATGAGAGAAGCAGATGAGTTGACTCCTAGCTGAACCATTTACTTAAGGCTAAGTTACCCTCATACTTCAGTATGAGGAGGTATAGGTTGTGACGTTCAAAACAGCACAATGCTGATACAGTCTGCTCATTATATGGAACTTTGTTCTGTGAATAGTTAGAGGGTACGGTCAAGTCTTACTTCTTTGGAGGGTCCTCTATGTCTCTGAATGAATGCTTTCCCATTCATCTTTTTATTTTTTTAAATAAAAAGTCTAAACTGTCTTACATAATAGCCTTAGACAAGATCACTACAGAGGCCCCTCAAGGCTGGAGTGGTGTTGTAGGGAAAGTAAAGTATCAGGCTTTTCTGCCCTCCCACCATTGGGATTGATGATGGATCCCTGCAGTCCTGAATGCATGCCTGATGGTGGGCACCTGGAGTAGGGGGAGGGCATACGTAGGTGAGTATACCTGGGCTGAGAGACTAGGTCTATGAGGCAGCATCACGGGGACGCCAGCAGAGTGAGAGTGAAAGAGAAACTGAAAGAGAACCAGCAGAGAAGCAGAGGCCACGAGAGAACACTGGAGAGCCCAGAAAGAATGAAGATTTCCAGGAGGCCTGCCAGCCTCCCGGTCTGCCAGCGCCCCTGCCTGCTGTGTACCTGGTAAACCCAATAAAAGCCTGCAAAAAGCCACCGAGGAGGGCTCCTAGGACTCTCCTTTACCCTTGTCTGCTCAAATCATAGAGATCCTGCCCTGTGTCCTTCCTGCTGCTACAGGAGTGTAGGTGTCCAAGCAGTTCTTACCTTATCTTCCCTTCCTGATTGTTAGATCCCATATTCTGAAGCTCTGGACGTATTCTTTATTGGCAGAAAGCATGTAACGTCAGGCAGTTGGAGTTTCTTTGCTCTGTACAATCTGGGATTCTTGCTTTCAGATTCACAGAAAGAACAATTGTCTTGGGGGCTCAAGCTCTGGCCACCCTGGCCTATCTTTTTTCTCAAAAATACATCCTTCAGTCCAGCTTTCCAAAGCAGGATTCGCTGTTCTCTGATGGGGTTGCTCTGTGCCCAGAGGTTTTCCGAGGGCTCATGAGTTAGCTCAAATGCCACCTCCTCGTAAAAATTTTAAATCTCTCTGATAATACCCCCTGCTTATTTTTTTTCAAAATTTTTATCACTGCCTGACTTTTTTTTTTTTTTTTTGGGTTCAGGTTTTTCTTTTCTTTTTTACATTTTATTAGGGAAAGGGGAAAATGAGAAATACCTGCATAGTCACAGGAAGGAGCAATAAGGATTTTATTTTCTGTGCTTGTCCACTAGATTATAAGCTTCAAGAGGGTAAGACAATGATCTTCTTTGTTTACTGTTGATTCCTCAGTATCTATAATCTTGCTGTAGAGTAAGGTAAAGTATCAGGCTTTTCTGCCCTCCCGCCATTAGGATTAATGATGGACCCTTGCGGTCCTGAATGCATGCCTGATGGTGGGCACCTGGAATAGGGTGTGAGCATATGTAGATGGGATTCACCTGGGTTAAGATTGTGTTTTTAAGGGAGGCGTTCTGGGGACGCCAGTAGAAACTGAACGAGAAGCCGAGAGAGAAGCAGAGCCATGAGAAGAGCTGAGAGAATGTGAGAGAAGGCCGCAGAGCCCAGAGTAAAGACTGGCAGGCCTCCCAGCCCCCCAGCACTCCTGCCTGCCATGTGCCTGGTAAATCCCAAGAAAAGCCTGAAAATTCACTGAGGGCTCTGACTCCTCCTTTACCCAGTCTGCATGGGATCAGAAAACCTGCTCTGTGGCCATTCCTGACCTTACACTTGCCTTTACAGAGCTGGTGTTCTATAGGTATCCGTTGATAAATGAAAGCTTGCCGGAAGTAGAGACCCAAGAAACCCTGAACTCAATCTCAAAAGCACTGTAACTTTGAGCCTGTATTTTATAATCTAATCATATCTAAAGAGAGGGAAAAGAATACTTCTTGCTATGGGCTGAATTATTTCTCCCAGATTCATATATATGTTGAAGATGACCTCCTCCTTTTGGCTATATTGAACCTATACGGAGGTGGTAAAGGTTCAATGAGATCAAGATGGTGAGGTCCTGATCCACTGGAATTAGTGCCCTTCAAAGCTGAGACACTAGAACTCACTCTCCTTCTCCACACACACAAAGATGAAGTATGGGAGCACACGGCAAAATGATGGCTACATATAAACCAGGGAGATACTTCTCACCAGAAGCCAATACTTGGACTTCCAGCTTGAACCATGTGAAAATAATTTCTGTTGGTTAAACCACCTAGTCTGTGGTATTTGGTTATGGCAGATTTGGACACTCTCCATTGTGGTTGAACTCATTGCTACTGTTCTTGGACAATTGACCTCCATGTTCTCAACATGTATATTTGAAGATGTGTGATGAGAGGCCTTCATGGGCTGGCCCAAGTATGTCCAAGTTCCTGTACCAGGCCTCTGGGTGATGTATCTGTTCTCCCAGCTGTCTTCTTCTCTTCCCTTTAGCTTGTTATAAACTCTGTTCCCCAACTTGGTGTATCAGTGGCTAGATGATGTTGGTGCTCCTCCAAGTTCTAGCAGAACACATGCTGCGCAGGGCCCTCCCAACACTCTCCCAGGGTTGGGAGCACTATAGGATACAGTGACAAAACATTTTCTTTCTTCCTTTCTCAATGGGTACCTGACATACCTTTAGCTGCTCCAGATCTGGCCTCTCCATGCTGACCACAGCAGCCAGCAGCTGGTCCTCCAGGCCATCCCTGGTCACAGTGAAGTTGATCAGGGTCGCCTGAGCCTGCAGCTCAGGCTGGTAGTGAGGATTGGCCAGCTTGGTGTGAAGGATGAGCCGGAATTTAGGATTATATTCACATTCTTTGTCTCCAATTTTAATGAATCTGAAATATAAAGGCTTATGTGAAGGAAGGTTATCTTTTTGTGAGATTAATATCAGGAACAAAAATTTAGATTTATTTTGCAAGATCATAATAAACAATATTGCCATATAAAGATGGATTTCTCCTAAGTCTGTTTAGCATGATGCCTAGGACCCTTGCTTACCCCAATGTGGGGAACAGAGGTGGAGGGTGATAGATGGCCACCAGACTAATTTGCACTGCACAACTGGAGGGATAGTCATTCACTTTGCTTTTTTTTATTATAAGAATTTATTTTTATTCATGCATAGAAGAACTGGGGTTAGGCCAGAGGTGCAGGGGGTGAGAGGATTCACCAGAGAAAGAGTGGGGAGCAGAACAGGCAGATCTATTAAAATACACTGTTGAGGGGAGCAGTGGGGGGACAGGACAGGTCTGTTGTGCCATGTGGGTCAGCTCCCTGACTGGGGATTGAACGAACTCATGCTGCAGTGGCAATGGCCAGTGATAGCTTGATAGCGCTGAGACTTTAACTCCTACACCACTGGGGAGGCACAGGTATAGTCATTCATTTTGTAAGTCAGTGTAGATCAGTACATTAGCGAATATTTCCAGCAGATGGCAGTAAAGCTTTTGGAGGCAGAGGCACCATCATTTTTACTAAGGTACCCTATAGGATGACAATAAGGCTTACTATTTTTCATGACTGACAGAGAATGACTTCAATGGATGAATATGGATAAATAAGTAAATGAACACATCCTAAGGACATGTAAAATCATCTTACAGCCTTGGCAGTGGTCTGAGTCAAGCAACTCTGCATGGTACTTGTTACACTCTCTCCTATGTGTCTACAGCCCTTCTTTAGTTTCTGTTTTTTCCTTCCTTCTGTCAATTACTTGCTAAAGCCTGAGTTACTGCACTCAAAGCAACAGGAGTCCATCAAATTGACAAAGAACTGAGTTCTTGGAACTCAGAGGTCTGGTTTGGATAAAATGTTCATGCTTAAAAGTCAGCTTGCTTTTCAAACAATTTCAGCCTGAAGTTCCTCCAAATTAGTGCACTTTTGGCCACTTAGAAAGAAGTCAATGAGGACACTGACTGATGGAAGAAATGCTATTCCAGAAAACATTTTCTAGGAGATGAGGGCAGCTAAATTATTTCCCTTCTGAAGAAATAAGAGTTTGTGTACTTCAGAGACCTGCTTGACAAAAGCTAAGAAGATGTCCTAGCAAGAGCAGATTTCTCCATACTTCTACTGGGGACCATGAACAAGCTCCTCATAAAACATCATCAACATAGCCAACATTTACCTTCCTTTTTTAATGACTTCTCTCCCAAGCAGGGGACCCAGAACAGGATCAATGGACTCTTCTAGGTTTTCAATCAGCACCACATCTCCAGCTTCCAGGGCATGTTCTATGGTTTGAAGGTAACTGAGGGACAAAGTTGGACACAATGATCTGGTGGCAAGGTATGGATACAGAGGGAATTTACGGAGAAAACTGTGACCTCTGAAACACGAAGATAATCCTATCTGGGATAACAGCTATCTGGGATAATTTCAATGATCACATTTTTCTCCACTTGAAATGATATTTTTGTGATCTTATACATTTTTAGAAATAATAAAAAAATTTGAAAATTCTAATCCTTCCATTTGCCATTCACATTTTGGTGAATATTATATATGTTTGGCTACATTATATTTTTCAAGACTTTTACTATATTTCATTATTTATAATTGGATTCACATAGAACAATTTGTTTTATAATCTGGCTTGTGTACATAAAATATATTGTAAAATTTCCTCATGTAATTTATTTATTAATTTTTTAAGATTTATTTATTTATGATACAAGAACTGGGGTGTAGGCCAAAGGTGTGGGGATTGGGGAGGTATGTGTATGAGAGGATTCACCAGAGACAGAGTGGGGAGCAGAACAGGCAGATCTACTGAAATACACTGCTGAGGGGAGCAATGGGCGAGACAGGAGAGGTCTGCTGTGCCATGTGGGTAGCTCCCTGGCCGGGGATGGAACTCATGCTGCAATGGCTGCAGATAGCTTCATAGGTTGCGTCTTAACTCCTTGTGCCACCAAGGAGGCCCAGATTGATGTAATTTCAATTTAAACAATAAGCAACAATAAAATTTTATAAACCTTGATTTAAATCTTAAAGTTACCCTAACAGAAAACAAAGAGGATGGTTAAAAATACTACACTATCTTATGTAACTTCAATAATACATATATGTAGAAAGAAGTCTTAAAGCAGTCTTATCATATATCTAAAATAGAGGTATTTTTCTGTGCATGATGAATTATAGGAGTTTTTTCTTTTTTTGTAATCCCCTTTTTTATTATGATGATAAATGATAAATTACTTCTATATTATATTTTATACTTTTATATATTACCACAAAAAATGCTACCAAGCACACAAAGAAATAATTTAAGGATGAACTAGTGTTATATAAATAGAAAAGAACAAAGACTATTTAATAAAATGATTTAATATAGAGTGCAATGTCATTTCCAATTAATTGGAAAAGAATGGAGAATTTAATAAATGGTATTGAAACAAAGGTTAACTACTGGAAAAATGAAAATTAGTACTCAAAAATATATTTAATGGGATTAGATTTCAATATGAAAAAACACATAAGAACACTAAAATAATCTAGGTAAACATTTATATAATATCTGGAGAGAAAGATGCTTTTCTAAGCATGATCTATAGAAGAAATGGGTGACAAATATGACTAAACCAAACTAACCAAACAAACAAAAAAACTCCTTTAAGGTGATAATTTGAGAAGATTTACATTCATATGATGAAGAATGACTATCCTTAATAATCTTAAGATATAGTGTGCATAATAAAATATTTTTATTTAAATAATATACAACTAATCTAGAAAACCACCCAACAGATAGTTAATGGACATGAGGGCTGACTATTTGCCAGGCATCGTTTTTTGGTACACTAAGAATATAGCTATTAGTAAAAAAGATATTCTTTCTAAACTGTAACTCTTGGTCACTTAGAAAGGGATTTTTTAAATTTTTTTTTTTTTAAGATTTATTTATTTATTTATACAAGCACTGGGTCAGTCAGAAGCACGGGAGGGTGAGAGAATTCACTAGAGCCAGAGCGGGGAACAGAACAGGCAGACTGACGAAAGACACTGCTGAGGGGAGCAGCGGGTGAGGCAGGAGAGGTCTGTCTCGCCATGTGGGACCCTCGCCAGTGGCCGGGGATCAAACCAGCGCTGCAGAAGCTGCATGCAGCTTTGCAGTCCAGCGCTCAACTGCTGCGCCACCAGGGGAGGCCCAGAAAGGGATATTTTAATCAAGGTTTATGGAGAAGGCCAGGATTAGATGACACGTTTGGGACATGTGACCAGAGGATGCAAACCTCACCTGGGTGCCTACAAAGCTGCATGGCAGGTAAAAAGGACTTTGATGGTATCATAATAATCACATCAGCATATTATTATATATGTGTCTATCATATATGTGCATATATTATGTATCCATGGCAAATGCTCAGTTGTTTCTCAGGATAAAGAAAGTTAGGTTTGTTCTATGTGGGCCTTGGGCAGAGATAGGAATAGAGGATAGAAGAGAACTAAGAAAGGCAGTTTTTGGCTAGATGCGAGGAAAACTTTGTAAAACATAGAGTTGTCCCACAATGGAATGTGATTTTTGGGGAGGCAGAAAGTATTGAAGAGAGACAGGAGGATGAAATCCAGGGATGATGGAGTAAGGATTCCTGAATGGGCTGAGAAGTTGATATACATATATATATTTTTTAATAATAAATTTTATTTTTATATTCCCCATACAATTGCAGCCCCCCCATTCCGACCCCAATCCCTCCCCTCCCACCCCCGCCCCCCTAAAAGTGTTTCTGGTTCGTAGTTTTTTGTTGATTTTGATTTTCACTTTCTTATAGTTATTCGTTTTCCTGGTCCTTATTTAAGTTTTCTAGATTCCTGCTATGAGTGAGACCATCCGGTATTTTTCTTTTTCTTTTTGGCTTATTTCGCCGAGAAAGAAAAGCAAAGACTCAGCACTAAGCATTTTTAATTGAGATATTTCCTAGAATGGGAGGAGACACCTCATGAAGGAACTGGAAGTTAGAAACACTTTACTAGTGCCTCAAATCTGCTCCTAACATTTTTTTCCCCTTGCAAAATTGGCAAAAGTGGGCTCTTTACTCTCAGTCACCTACCCTTTTTGACCAATCTGGGTGACCCTCAGGTCTTCGCCATATTTGTTCTTGATCCATTTGATGCCTTGTAGCTGAGGGTCAACCATGAGTGGCCAGCGCTCACAGTTGATGAGGATGGTGGCATTCTCCATGGACATGCGGTCTGCAGGGAGGCCCTCATTCTGCCAGGCAGCCACATCGGCATCATCCGTCAGCATCCTCAGGGGATCCAGGGTGGGGGTGACAGGAATGGGAACCTGAAATAATGAAGTCAGCTTACATACACTGAGAATGGAAGAATGTTTTTTTTCAGTGGGAGGTGGAATACACAGTGACTTACTAAATGACGTAACTCCTTTGAAAGCAAGATCAAAATCCCTCTCAAGAGTGCTTTTCTTGCTGTGTGATTATTTCTAGAAGCAAGTTTCCCTAAAGTCCTGATAGTCATTTCCTTTCATAGATGAACAACAGCAGAAACACAGACTGTATGACCTTTTTTCTTCAGTGTACTTAAATTCAAATCAAATTTTACTCATCGATTCTTTGCACTTCAATCAATAGTCTCCAATATGCCCTGGCCCATGTTAACCTTGTCACTCCTCTACCACATGTCTGTTTCTCCTGCACGCTCTATGAACTAGGACCTATGTTTAGTGGGCTTTCTCCTGCCTATGCCAACCCATACCAACCATTTTCTGCTCATCAGCTTCACCACTTGCTGACAGAAGCCCAGCTTGCAAAGGTCTGGAGGTGCTTATCTTCACCTCTGTCAGGAACACCCTACTCCCAGGGCTACTTGTACAACTTCCCTTTGCAAACTCATCTGCTGGTGCATGTCAGGGAGATGGAAATCAAACTACCAGGTCTTAGATTGCACCCCTAGCCAGCCTCTCTCTTTTCCCTCATGGCCCTTGTCTCTGTACTTATATTTTCTGTTGACCTCTCTCAGCTCATTTAATTCTTTTAAAGTAAACTTTCTCATGGGAACACATATATACGTTCTTTTTTAAAAGTTGAGATAAAGTTCATATAACTTCAAATTATCCGTTTGAAAGGACACGATGCAATGACATTGAGTTTATTCACAATGCTGTGCAAAAAAAAAATTAGCTCTACCCAGTGCCAAAACATTTCTATCACCCCAAAAGGAAAGCCCACACCCATTAGCAGTCTGTTTCCATTGTCTCATTCCCCCCCCCCCCCGAGTTGTGAGTAACCATTAATCTGTTTCTGTCTCTTTGGATTTACCTATGCTGAATATTTTATATACATGGAACATGTATTTGTGACCTTTTGTGTGTGGCTGCTTCCACTTTGCAGAAAGCTTTCAAGGTTCTCACATATGCTCTTCAACCCTTCTGTCTTTATTCTCTGCAGTTTGTCTTACCCAGTTACCTCAGGAAAACCTCTTTAAACCATCCCCTGTCCCTTTCATCACACCACAAAGGGTACAAATGGCCAGTACCATGCCACTGAGAAAATCTTGAGAGGGAAATCAGTGTTTGGAGGTTCTCATCCTGAGATCAGAAATATATTCCAGGGGCCTCCCTGGCACAAGGGTTAAAGACACAGTGCTGTCAAGCTATCCCCAGTCACTGCAACATGAGTTTGATCCCTAGCCAGGGAGCTAAGCTACATGGCACAGTAGACCTCTCCTGTCTCACCTACTGTTCCCCTCAGCAGTGTATTTCAGTGGATCTGCCTGTTTTGTTCCCCACTGTGTCTCTGGTAAATCCTCTCACCTCCGCATACCTCTGGCCTACACTCCAGTTCTTGTATGTATAAATAAATAAATCTTAAAAAATGTATTTCAATAAATTGTATCCCATTGTAATCTTATGTGTTCTATTTTATGCACCAAAAATCATTACTGTAGCAGGAGTCCACAGATTTCACCAGATTGTCAAAGGGAACCATGGCACAAGATGCTTAAGAATCCCAAGCAATGCCAGAAAAGTCCTCGCTGTGCTGCCACTGAGCATCTCATTCTCTTTTACTCAGTGAATAATCGTCCTTCCAACAGTTTCTTTTCCCACAGGTGCTTGAGATGCATAAATAACAGCTTTGTGTTTTGTATATTTCCTAGTAGTATAACAGGTTTTAAAACATTCTTCTGTAAATCATCCAGTAAGTATGATTTTGTGAGCTGACCTCTGAAACCAAACATCACTAGACAGTATGGGATGTAAGGATACAAGTACACATAAATTTTGGAATCCAGTCCTTACTGCATGTGCTGAACTTTCTGTGCTGACTCTTACTGTAGCTGCTTCTAATGGCCCTAATCTCCACTGGACGTGAACTTCCTCCAGACATCCTGGTATCGAATGTCTTCTGGAACTCCTGTCTAGTGGAGTAGCAGGACTCATGGAATACTCACTGAATCTTTGTGGAGTGAGGATTGAGTGATGTGAAATTGCCAAGGTAAATTAGGAATTATTCTGATTATGAATCGGCTCCCTGAAGAGGGAGCCAATTACACTAAGTGGACAGCGGAACAGAGCACATGAAAAGCACGCGAGTAGCTAACTATTCATGGGCACACACCAGACAGGAACAGATGATGTGGTTTGCATAAAGGTGTCTATGAGCTGTGGGCATAGACTGTGGAGCTTTGGGGCCCAGAACAAGATGTCGTGTAGAATGTGGGAACAAGTCTTCCCCCCAATGTGATGATAAAGTTTGAGTCAATAGCAGGGTGATTGATTGGAAGGAAACACAGGATGTTTTTGGTGCTATTCAGGCTTAAAAGATTTTAAGAGCAGCAGAAAGTAGAATGCTGAGTTGCTCCCATAGAAGCCCCATTAAGAGGAGAGATACTCAATTCAGGGGTTCTAGAGGGCAGGGCATGGCAATGGGAGTGTGGGAGGACATGGGAACACTTGTCTCACTGCTGGGTCTCAGAAGTCACTGGGGGCTATTGAAGAGGTGGCATGCAAAACTGGGCTAGAAGATTTGGGTTATTATTGTTTTATGTGAGTTCACTATTAAGTCCCAGGCTGATGATCAGGAGAAATTCAGGCTGTACCTACTTTCAGCTGACTCAGGTAAGGTCTCCAGGCCCCATCCATGAGGCTCTGCCGGTATTTCTTTGTAAAGAAGCCAAGGTATGAGATGAAAGCCGTGATAAGCAAAATGTCTCCACATAATTTCCTTTCCTGTTGTTTGAAGTTCTGCACAGCTTCTGCCCACCTCACGTTTTCAGAAGCAAGTCCTCCCACCTATCATTTCAAAGACCAGAGAGAAGAGAAGATTCATCATCCTGCAGGCTACATGGGGCCAGAGTCTGTCATAGAGAATGTACAGAACAAGTTTAGTAGCAGGACAACTCAGAGTGTCACTTCTGTGGCCTGTTTGATCAGTGGGGATTTGTACTGACTGCAGTAAATAAGACCATACTGTGTGCCATCATTATGTGGGCTGTGGAAAGATGATGAGTTTGGAATGCTAGCTTCTAGACCATGCCCTTTGCAGGTATAAAGACTCACACCATCCACCTCAAAGGGCTGCTGAGAGGGTTAAATATGACTGTGTGTGTTAATCACTGAGTTCATTGCCTTACTGGCACTTGTCTCCCTTCTCCTCTCCAAAATACTGGGGCTATGAAAATAAAGTCAATTCTACATGCTATAAATAATTCTCAGTGGGTGGGGGAGATAGTTACCATAATTATGATACAGATTTGAAGTTCTGAATCATAGGTATGAATGCATCTTGCCTCTGCTTGACCCACGTTGGGATGGCACAACTTTCCAGGGAGGACAGCAATCTTGTATACCTAGGTCTGTTAAGTGTAGAGTGGACCTAGCTTCTGTGTTAGGACTTACCTTTGTTTTTTTTTTTTTTCTGTCTTGAAAGATGTCAAGATGCATGTAAAAGAAAGTTGTCTTAGACCCACCAAGCCGACCCATGCACCAGTTGACTAACATGGTGGCCCAGGCAGCACCACATGGAGTGGAAGAACCCAAATTCCTAACCCACAATCTCCAAAGATACATTGAAATGGTTATTGTGTTAAATTACTAAGTTTTGGGGTAGTTTGTTACACAACAACAGACACTTAGAACACAAGCAGCCTGTTGTCACCATCAGATTTATTTTTTCCGGAGGCCAGTGTGTATGTACTGGTATACAGACACACTCATGTGTGTCAGTACAGTAAGATCATATTTGGAAATGCTCTCAGTCCCTCAGTCTCATTATTTTCTGCTTTAATCTCAGGTCCTAATCATGCCCATTCCTTTATTATCAAACATCACACAGGTAGGTGCTTTGGAGTTTGCCTGTCATATGCTAGCTTTGTCTTTTGCTCTTCCCCTGGTTGAGACACATAGGTCTCTCGTGGCCTGCGTGATAGCTCCAGTGTCCCCATCCTCCTAGCTGTCTCTGTAGGAAAACTCCTTTCACCAGACTAGGGTGTGCATTCACACTTTTCTCAGGATGATCCCTGTATCTTGGCACATTTTAATATTTCCCCCCAAGTGAAAGCTGTGCTAAGCTGTGCTAAGCTGTGCTCATGTATTTTGCACCTCTGCAGAGCTTGACAAGCTCTGCTAATATAATTACAGCTTGGGCTGCTGAGACTCACACTCACCAAGCGATTTGCAAGGGAGATGGTGCCTGCGGTCACTTCGGCTTCTTGCTGACATTTGAGTTTGTCTGCCGTTGCTTTCTCAAACTTGGCTGTGAGTTTTGCCAGGTTTTCATTCAGGTGCTGTTCGGGAAGGAACAGAAGGTCTGTCAGCAAATTCAGTTCAAGTTCCCTCCAGTGCTTCTGAGACAGGATCCACATGTAGGTGATTTTTTAAGGAGAACTCCGTGGGGGATGTAGTGGGAGACTGGGGAAGGTAGGACAGGGAAGGAAAGAAAAGCAATTGAGGAGTAATCTCAGGGAGACCCCCAGTGTTCCCAAAGGGAGAGAGTGGGCTAGAGCTGTCCTGACCTACTCCAATGCCTTAGACCTTTTAAGGTTTAGGAGGGGTGACAGACATGATGGGGGCTGATTGGTTTAAGTTCCATCACTCCTTATGTTGGGAAAAACAGGTTCCAGTAGCCTGCCAAAAAGGTGTAGCTGCTGCTATTAGAAGGAAAATCAAGACTAAGCCTAGGGATGCCTGAAAATGATCACAAGGATCCCAAGGAGGCCTGGGGTGAACACACACTGTGTCTGCTGCCGCAGGTCTATGATTTATGATTGGCTGTCTGCAATCTAGTCCTCGCCTTGCTTTAAGTTGTTCAGAATACTATGTAACTTTTACTTAACCTCACCTGTTTTCTTCCATTATCCTGAAGTATAGGAATATATTTTAAAGAAGTCATGGCTTCAATTTTTTTTCTAAATTTATTAAAAATTGACACACATATGGGCCTCCCCTGGTGGCGCAGGTGGTTGAGCGCCGCGCTGTGAAGCTGTCCGCAGTCTCTGCAGCACCGGTTCGATCCCAGCTGGCCGGCCCGCGAGGGTCCCACATGGCGTGGCAGACATCTCCTGTCTTGCCCGCTGCTCCCCTCAGCAGTGTATTTCATCAGTCTACCTGTTCTGTTCCCCGCTCTGTCTCTGGTGAATCCTCTCACCCTCCTGCCCATCTGGCCTGTACCCTGGTTCTTGTATGAATAAATAAATAAATAAATCTTTAGGGAAAAAAATCGACACACATAGCTTTTTTTTTTGCCACCAGAACACATATTTGCACATACAATGATACTTGGATTCACGGCAGACACCTCTAAATATTTGATGTGTATGCAGTAACCAGGGTTCATGATGCTTTGCTGATTATTACCAAGTCACAAGAGATATAAATTAAGAGGTATATTTATACATCCAAACAGTCTGAAAAGCAGGTGGTGAACCATCTAGTTAATGATGGCAGGCTGTCCACACTCATTTACAGCTTTCAGAGATGTTTCTAAAATGACTATGAAGCAATTAAAAGTCATAAGCCCATAACACCAAGCAAATGTTGAGGGCCATTGAGGATGAAGGATTCGTTAGATTTAAGAAGATAACATTGATAGAGGAGTAGAAACTGCTAGAGCAAGGAAAAGGAAGCTGTAACATAGAGTAGGCCTCAGTTCACCAAAAGGAGAACTGATCAGCCCTGCACAGCCCCAAATACACTGGGGATTTGGGAATATCTGTGTGATCAAGAAGGATGCTGAAAATAAGAAGGTTAATTATAAGTCTATTGATCTTCTACCACTTATCTCCATGCTCTATATGAAATGCCTTCATGTAGCATGGCACCAGGCAAGAGCTTTAATAGTGGCAGAAAAAGATACCACATGCTGGCACTTTAGATGCATCCAACACAACTCATGTACTATGGATTCCAAGTTGGAAATAAATTGTTCCAGTCAACCAGCTCTACCCTTGTCTGGAGAGTGAGAATCAGCTTTTGATCACTGATCTTACAAATCTGAAAAGACAAGAAGGCATTTGATGAAAGTCTAGGTGAACAAGAAGAAAAAAGTGATCCAGGAAAAATATAATCAGTCACAGAATTGACGACAAGCTCTGTCTCTGGTGAATCCTCTCACCCTCCTGCGAATCTGGTCTGTACCCCGGTTCTTGTATAGATAAATAAAAAAAAAATAAATCTTAAAAAAAAAGAAATAATGACAACACAAAACTCTTCATAATCAGTTTCTCAGAAAGACACAAGATGTTTCATCTATAAAAAAAGAAGAGGACGCTGTAAAAGATATAAGGAGCAACCACTTGTGTAAATGACTTATTGTTAATGTAAAAAATAATAAACTCAAAAGAAGGATTAGAAGATGAATTCGAGGAAACCTGGAGAATACAAGGAATCATAAAGTGAAAATAAGATGAGAGAAAATAGAGGACCTATCAGAAGATTCAACATCCAAACCAACGTGTTTGAGAAAATAAGACTACAAAGAAGACAAAGGGGAGATTGCCAAAGAAATAATGCAAAATAATTTTGCAGAACTAGAAAAAAAATTAGCTTCTACATGCCAAACACCTTGAATAAGCAAAAAAAAAAAAAAAAAAAAAAAAGAGAGAGAGAGAGAGAAAACATAAAGTAAAACATACAAATAAAAAAAAATAAAGGCAGTTAAGCACATCAAGAATAAAGAAAAATGGAAAAACTTCCAGAAAGGTGGAAATAGTACATTGACAAAGGAATAGGACCCTGACTGTTCTCAGGCTTCTCACAAGCTAGGAGGATAGAGCATTCAGCGCTCTAAGGGAGCAAATTAGCAACTCAGAATTCAACACTCAGCAATATTTTCAGTTCAGTTTGAAAAGAAAGACATTTCTAGGCTGAAACTACTCAGAACATTCATGTCTTAACATTTCTGAGAAAGTTACTTAAGAATGAGCCATAGCCAAAACTAGAGAAGAAATTAAGAAAAGAGAAGGCATGGGGGGCCAGAAGTCATTGGAATCAATCCACGGAAACAGTGAAATGTATTTACTCTCCAAGACTGATTAGAGTGCTGAGCTGGAGATGCAAGTGAGAGGTCTTAGGGACAAAAGAAGAATTGATAGAACACTGAATTAGATGGTGAGTTTAAAAGCAATTAAAGCAATGCAAAAGGAACTAATGGAAGAGAAAAAATAAAGGAAAGGTAGAAACAAGTTGGGTGAGTGGGTTATATAAAAATGGAAGAGTAATTATAGAGTACCATGTAGATATACTATGAACAATGTAGACACATTCACAGAACATAAATTAAATTTTCTGTTTTTCAACTTTTGGAATCAGTTGATAGAACATGGGATACAATTTTTGGTTTCAGGACAGAATTAGATATTTTCAGTCTTGGCAATTAAAAGCAAAAAAAATGTGATGAGTAATGATAACCAAAGTTGGGAGTTGGAAGCTGAGGAAAGGATAATAACTTAATCTTGGAAACTGAGGGGTCAGAGGAAGCTACCTCTACGTGATGGAATACATAGAGTAGAAGTCTGTTTAGAAGTCACCACATAAATAGAAGTCAGACAGTCAAGGTGAGGCAGACCTCTCCTGTCTTGCCCACTGCTCCCCTCAGCAGTGCATTTCAGACAGTCTGCCTGTTCTGTTCCCCACTCTGTCTCTGGTGGATCCTCTCACACCTCACATCTCTGGCCTGTACCCCAGTTCTTGTATGCATAAATAAATAAATATTTTAAAAAAAGAAGACAGTCAAATAAACAGAGAGACAGGATGATCATATAATCTGGCATGTGAATCTAGGGTTAAAATGATGGAGGCTATGGTGGGGGACATAGTTCTCATGGTGGGCGCTATGGCAAAATGCAACAAAACTATCTGCTTGAATGGGAAGTAATTCCTTAACTCCAGGGTCAAGCAATGCTATGTGGACCTCTCTGATTATTTTAAGACTGGCTGGAAATCCAATTTAAAAAAAAAATCTGTTGTTCAAAATGAGATAAATAATTTTCAAACACTACGGGCCAAATAAAACATACTGAAGACACTAGGTAGCAAGGTCCTAGTGGCATAAATAATCAGTTGAAATATACAAAAGAATTAGAAGGACAGTAGGCTGTTGTTTCTCATTAGATGCCCTTCTCTAATGATATTTTACTTTGGAGTGAGTATATACTCCATGAAAATGACTTACTTGTTTTTCCTACTATAATCTATAATTGCTACTACTATAATATATTTTTACTACTATAATCTATTAATATACATGAAAAGAAAACACAGTTAAGTAATAAACCCATTCAAAATGTACTCCCCAGAGATAATCACTACTACTCATATTTTTATGTATCTTAATTATATGTAAAATCAAGTTGAAATTAAATTGTATAATCTGTTTTGAAATAATGCATTTTTCACTTATGCATCTTGAATATGGAATTATCCTAAAATACTAAAAGTAAGGCTCAGGGGTGAGCATGACTGGAAAGATTGGCAATGGCCTCAGAGGCAGATAGGAGAGAACTTCCTTGTCCTGGGTGGGCCTCCAGATTAAGCACAGGTGTTAGCCCATCTCCTTTGTTACACGTGGGGGACTGTCTGAATTCTTGGGATGTTATTAGGCATGTGGATAAGCAAAGGATGTAGAGGAGGTTGTCAAAAGCAAGAATACATTAAAGAAATATTTTGGCAGAAATGGAGAGCCTTTCTGAGGTAGCCAAGTATTTTTAAGATGCTTTCCCAGGTTGAGTGGGCCTATCATGAGAATGTTGGATACTGAAGAGGTGTAAACATTTGAAAACATTCCCTGTGCACCAAATGTTTCTTTAGCTAAAATAACCGAGTAAAGAATTGTTGAAAATGCAGTTCTTGTAGCACTTTTCCAGGAAAGAGTGAAGAATATGACAATTATTGGGAGGTCATTTCTCCAAAAAAGCAGTCATGAGAATGTTAGGGTGCTTTGCACTCCATGTTCTTTGAAGAAGGCCATGGTTATGATGATTGTTACCTGTTTTAAGTAAACTTGTCCCCACACATCTGGATTTATAAAGCAAATATAGTGAGAGATTAGTTTTGTCAAAAAGTATCTTTTCTTTGTAAATGGTGCTTGTTTGCAAGGATTAGCACCATTAGCCATTGAGTTTGTTAATAAACCTATGAAACAAGAAACATGTAGCATATCCACAGTCTCACTTTTCACAATTTCATCTTTTTTTATCATGCCAAATTTGCAACAAAATTCCACTTGGAATGCACATGCAGGGACTGTCTTAGACTGAACTTGCCTAATGCAGTGGCTGATTACCAGAGC